AAGTTTCAACAGGTTCAATTTAAGGCCTTTTTAAAACATTATAAAAAGCAATTTAAGCCATATTTTATATCCATACTGGCAAAAAAAAAGTACAAGGGATGATCAAAACAGTGTGATCAAAACAAATCTTTCCCAAAAAAAGTTTACCTTTGTAGTCCTCTCATCATTGATGGTGGGTGGGTGTCACTAACTCCCACCTTCTCCAGCAGGTATTCCACTACAGAGGGGTTGTGGTAACCATGGCAACTCTTCAGTATACACCTGTACGTCTCACTGGAGTCAGCGGCTGCACGGACGCTGCGACTTAGAGGAGAGGAGGTTTTTTTTTGGAAGTTATTCTCAAACTAGAAACCTTTCAGGCACATTTGAATTCATTCTACACATTACGCGTCATGTTTTGTCGTGTCATGGTGTGTTGTTACCCGTAGTGTATGGGCAGCTCCTCCCGGGGAAGGACACCCAGTTTGATGTGCTCCAAGCTGGGAGAGAGAGAGGCCTGCTGGAGGGAAATTGTGATTTTCTCCTGGTAGCGGTCGATATCTTTCACTGCAGCTGCAGAACGAGAAAGTACAGAACTTGTGGACAAACTCACAGAAGAAATAAAGTCATGTTGTTCTACAGACATTTAAGTTTCTTTAACATATAAATGGATTTGGAGTTGGAAATTTGATTGGTAGATATATTGTAGAGCTTCATCTATTGACAGAAAATTACTGGAGAACTATTCTGATAATCATTTAATTACTTTTACTTCTCATATGTGAAGATTGTCTGCCTTTCTCTGTTTTATAATATATTAGACTGAATATCTCTGGTTTTATACTGTTGGTCAAACAAAACAAAACATTTGGAGACATCACCTTGGTCCCTGGAAAAAACTGATTTCAACACATTTTTATTTTATATTTTACAAACCAAACAATTAATAAAGGAAATTGAAAATGGAAGATAAAACGATAACAAAAATAACTGTTTGTTGCAACCCTAATATACTCAATGAATGCTTTTCTACACAACATGCAGTCATATAGAAAATAAGGCCAGGTGAGACCAACCAGCTAACTGAGGCAAGTTCAACTTTTTCTCCCAAACAACATTTGTTGTGGTTGTTTTGTTTCTATGCAGAAGTCATTTGCAGTAGCACCAACTTGTAACAACTTTAGGGGAAACAAGCTTGGCTGTTTAAGACAAAGACAACTAACCTCTGATGAAGTCCCCAATCTGGTAGTAGGACAGAGGATCATCATGGCTGCCAGTGGAGGGAATTTCTCTGATGTGACATAGAGCCTGAAGGCAAAAAGCAAAGAAATACATAGATTTAATTACACTTTCAGGGCAGTATGTGAGTCCTTGTCAAACAATAACAGTACAGAGTCAGGAAAGATTTGAGAAGAAGAAGGAAATCAGGTGTTACGACTAGTTAGACTGAAACAACTGCACATTTGAAATAGCTGCGACCCCGTAGGTTAAGTTCCAAGAATGTTCATGCATTCACATACAACCTCACAAAAACATGACGGATGGAGAGTTTGGCCTAGTTTAGATTAGCCTTAAGCTCTGTGCACTGAACTAATAGACACACTGTTTACTCCCACCGGTGATCATTCAGGAATTCACAGACCCACAGAGTAGGTTCTTCCTGTATAGCAGGCCAACAATCCTTCGAGTCTTTTGCACCTACAGTGGCCGACTGACTGGTTTCTACCTGTTACAAAGTCTATGAAATGGCTCAAGTGCATTAAATTTATTCAGCTTGTTGACCTACCGACAACTCTAGATCTTCTATGTCTCTCTTCAGTCCTCCTGCTGTGCACAGCAGTGTGAGAAAGAAGCCATATTCTCTGATGTTGTTGATCCTCCCCACCACGATGTCTCCTCTTTCCAAGTCTCTGTACAGCATGGCTCTTCTTTCGTCGTAAGACACCTCCATGAAAAGCTCCAGTGGTGGCATGATGGCATAGGGCTCTGGGAAAGCACAGGCAGAAACTGAATCAAATAGGTAGCATACAAATATAAATTTCTCTACATTTAGCAAGTCCTTTTATTTATTTATTTATTTTAAATAGTATCAGCTGAAGTGTATTTTCTACTGTTTTACACCTGTAACGACAGTGATTGTGTATTGCTCCGAGCTCTGCCAAAACGCAGGTGACCTACATTCAACTGTGCCTGAATGCATCGTGTGTAGACGCAGACAGAGCACCGAGGCTGCTGCTGCTCTGCAGACACAGTGTTCACGCTACGGCTCCTGTGTAGGCACAGTGTTGTAAAGTTATTCTGTTATAAAATGTGAACTTTGGTTATATATATATATATACAACACTATAAAGGTGATCACAGAGAGCAGGAAGGGACTGAACAGAGGTTTAATAAGCTGAGAGTTCAGCAAAGTTTTGTTGTTTTCCAGCGGTAAAGATGTCTAAGATGTTAAATGTTTTAGAGTGGAGAGAGAAACTTAATTTGACGGTTTGGTGCAGACGGAGCCTGAGTAATGTGGTCAAACACAAACACACCCGCAGCATCTTCCTCCTCCTCGTGCTCTTCTTCTTGATGAGTGGCAGTCTTCCATGTTGGACAGAACAGGATGTCAGCCTTCCTGGCAATGAACTGCTCCACAAGAGGGTTGCCATGTCCTTCACCCCCGCTGCACAAAAAAAAAAAAAAAAAAAAAAGGCACACATGTTGAGCAGAGGCTTGAAGTGTTGTGTAATGCACACCTGGCTGACAGGTGCCGGGGGAAGATGTGCTACAGAAACAGCTGAATTCCTGCACAATATCAGCACTGTGTTCAATAACTTTTCAGTCAAGGACATTCATCAGGTCCGATGTAGCTCTGTACTGCAGCTCTTTTGATTCCTGACTAATTGTTTCTGTCATTTTTGATGCAAAAAAAGCCAAATATTTACTTTACTTCCAGCCTCTTAAAGCGGAAGATTTTCCCCCTTTTTGCTGCGTTTTACATCAAATAACACAAGAAAACACGAATAAATGTGAAGTTGTCAGCTTTAAACTGCACACTGGAACAGGCAGGTTGGAGTAATGAAACTGGCTGCCATACCTTTCATACGTGGCCTTGCACAGGTCGGACACCACCGCCTGGAAGTCGGGGTTTTCTGTTTGTTCACATTTCAGCTTGTTGAACAGTGACTCTCCGTGATACGCCAGACAATGCCTCAACAACTCTCTGTCCATCCCTGGTTTGTGACAGGACTGCAGTCACATTGTTGTACAAGTCAAAACAAAAAGAAAAACGCAGCAACCTTTGAGTCCGGATCAACAGAGTTAGCTGTTAGCACGGTTTAGCGAAGGGGAGAACTGTATTGTCTTTTTATTTTATTTTTTTATATATATTTAAACCACCACACAACTCAGGTTTAAGCGCCAACTCGCGACTGGTTTAGTTATTTAGGGAACGAGAGGAGAGATACAGTTTAATAACAAACGCTGCTCGGTGTCGTTTAGCTCCGTTTTGCGAGTGCGCATGTGCGAGGCGTGTTGCACTGACACGTGTCGGGAGAAACAAGTGCCATCTAGGAACTATGTTTCTTCTTCTTAAAACAAACTAAATAAAAACAATAGTTTAACTAAATTAAATTCCCTCCATTAATTCCCTCCTTTCACTTTCTTTTCACGGTGCAATCTATTGTCCATGTGCAACTGCTGCTACTATGTTATCTGTTGTTGTGGATTCTTACTGCTTTTTCTCTTGTACATAGTGTTTTTATTATTTCCCTACTCTTACTGTTTTTTTTATACTGTTTTTTTTCTCTATCCACTTTGCCGCTGTAACATTGGAATTTCCCCATTGTGGGACAAATAAAGGAATATCTATCTGTCTTTCCTGGTCATATTTGCTGCAGTCTATTAAGTCTATTAATGCACAATAGATAAAGTTTCTATTTTATTACAGTTAGTGCATAGTCCACTAGGGTGCTTGCCTATGATATGGAGTGTGTAGTTTAATCCCATCTGATCTATTCTCAGATGGGTAATGACTATATGATCCTTTATGATTGTTTTAACGTCTGCTTTACTTAGTGGTACTTGTATTCGGACGCTAATTTCATTAATACATTTTCTTTCTCTGAACTAAAGATGCTTATTTGCATCAATTCCATATATTTTGACTAATTAACCAAGTCATATTGTCTTTTTTTTTATAGAAAATGTATCTTGCTTATTTGTGATCCCACACAAAGGTTACATTAGCTGTGAGAACTTCAAGCAAAGACCGATTTTTCTTCTTATCTCAGGTTGTTTTAATTGAACAATTTAAGGCCTGAAGACGTGGAATCATCTGTTATTTACGAAGAGAAAAAAGCAAAGTTAAATGTCCTAAAAATATGTTAAATTCTGTTCATTCTCCCAAGGATATAATTAATTATGATTGGTTGTTTTGGTGTTGCTGGGCATGAAGATACAGCAGTTATATATGCTTACAGCCAAATATGCTTCACAGACACAGAATTTGATTTCTGATTTTAAGTGAACTTTTCAGTGACTATATCCTTGTACTGTAAATATGTTTCCTTCAGTCTTTGCTGCTTCGGAGCGGCCTTTGCCTGAGTTAGCTGAATTAACTGTATCTTGCTGTGTTGAGTGTGTTAATAAATTACTCTGATTATCTTATGGTTTGCGGGGCTTTTGTTGCACCTGTACTGGTGGGGTGAGTGTGCAACTTTCCTCAGCTGGGAGGAGAGACAGACGTTGGAGAGTTGGCTGCACTGTGCATGAGCGCTTCACAAGTACAAACAATGGGTGACAGCTGACATAAAACAAAGGACAGGGATCAATATGGCTCAATATTGCCAATACCGATCAGTTAAAACATGCCTTAATCACCCCAATACCAATCAGATTGTGACAGACATAAATGATGTCTTTTATGATTTGATTTGGTTTTTAAATGTCACAGACACCTGCGACTGGTTTTTCAGGTTACATGAAAATAACCTGTCAACAATGCCTTGTCACTCCCTCTCTAGCTGAGGGAGGGTCGATTTAATGACTACCGGTAAGTGCAACGTGCAGTCACAGACTAAATACTTAATACTGGAGAAGTGAGAAGTAACATCAGTCAAGATGGAAACAAAAATCCTCTGTTGGATATTTTTGCTTGGATATTTACATGCATCCTCTGGACAAGGTAACTGTTGTGCTTCTTTACAAATGTTTTTTTTTGTATGGCTTTGATTGTTTATATTTTATAATTAGTGTTAAGTATTTCAGTTTGTGTTTGAAATACTTAACATACTGCAGATGTTATTATTGCTACCCTCTTGTATTTCCCAATGTGTTTTATTATTTACTTTTAAATGTCCTATATTTTGTAAATGTGTGTTTGTGACTTAGGCTCAGTTGGTTTTTAAAATATTGTATTACGTAGGGGAGAATATTTATATGAGGGTAGTTTGGTATGATGGTCGGTGCTCAGGTTAAGATGGTAGCGTATATGTAATAACATATTGACAAAACACAGAGAGACCAGAGAACATTATTATGTATTTGGTCTTTAAAGTTTATGTTTCACTGTCTTACTGCTTATGAGAAGTAATATAAAGTCAAACGGCTCCAGAGTCACAAGGAATCTGTAAGTTGTCATACACGCTTCCTGGGCGCTCTTCTCCTAGAGCAGTCGAAACCATTTGATTAATAGCATCACTATCTGACCCAAGTGACAGGCTATTGAAACTGCCAAGACATTGCATCTTTATTTCCCAGTGTCAGAATTTTAAAAACTTTATTAGATGTTGTTAGGAACTTTAAGTATAGTATAATTTATGTCTAATAGTGCTAAAATAAAGTGAGACTGCTTTGACTACCTGACTGAAACCCCAGGAACTACAACTATTGACCCACCTATGACAATTATATCTTTGACAAAAACTCACATACTTCACACACATTCACATACAACCATAACTGCTGTCCGGACCACAACCGCCCCAGTGACGACAACAGCAAGTTTCAACCACCACAACTAAGCTGAAAACAATAAGGGAAGGAGAGAATAAAATAAAAATAAAAATTGACATTAAAAAATACTTTGGAACAATGCATTTGTATAGATAGATCCACCAAGTGTCTGGAAATAACACACTTCTGGTTATACGTTGACTGATACCAATGTATCTGGACAGGAGATGCTTTTGAAAATATGATTTATGATAGTGGAATCGTAGTGATACTGCAGTGGTCATACAACTGAGATTTTTGATGAATTGTTCTGGAGTGAAAGCTAAATTCATCCTCAACCCCAAGGTTTGTTGTAAATCAAATCAATCAAAAGATAAGAACGTATATTTAAAGACTACATTAAAAGTAATTTGTACTCGTTTTTCTTCTTCAATAATAACTAATTTTAATAATCACAGTAGTCTTTTATTCATTTCCATTTTTTTATATCCTCACAGACTTGGGGTCACTGATACATCTACGGATGAAACTAATTTCATATGGAGAGCTCAGCAATGCAACCATCATTGAACTTCTTAAACAGGTTTGTAAAACAGTGTAAAATAAAAGCTTTTGAAGGCTCCTCAGCTAAAACAATTAGTTACTGAGTTCTCACAATATAAATATCTGTGTTTTCTCTCCATTTAGTCCTTTAGAGACTATCTCCCTGTTGCCCACACAGTCACAGTGACAGGCATTCAAAGGACACCTATGACAACAACACCCACAACAACACCACTGAACACAACTACACCCACAACAACACCTATAACAACCATACCTATGAGCACAACCACACCCACAACAACACTTATAACAACTATACCCATGAGCACAACCACAACCACAACAACACCTATAACAACCATACCAATGAGCACAACCACAACAACACCTATAACAACCATACCAATGAGCACAACTACAGCCACAACAACACCTATAGCAACTATACCCATGAGCACAACCACAACTAGAACCACAACAACACCTATAACAACCATACCAATGAGCACAACCACAACCACAACAACACCTATAACAACCATACCGATGAGCACAACTACACCCACAACAACACCTATAACAACCATACCCATGAGCACAACCACACCCACAACAACACCTATAACAACCATACCCATGAGCACAACCACAACCACAACAACACCTATAACAACCATACCAATGAGCACAACCACAACCACAACAACACCTATAACAACCATACCAATGAGCACAACCACAACAACACCTATAACAACCATACCAATGAGCACAACTACACCCACAACAACACCTATAGCAACTATACCCATGAGCACAACCACAACTAGAACCACAACAACACCTATAACAACCATACCAATGAGCACAACCACACCCACAACAACACCTATAACAACCATACCCATGAGCACAACCACAACCACAACAGCACCTATAACAACCATACCAATGAGCACAACCACAACCACAACAACACCTATAACAACCATACCCATGAGCACAACCACAACAACACCTATAACAACCATACCAATGAGCACAACCACAACAACACCTATAACAACCATACCAATGAGCACAACTACACACACAACAACACCTATAGCAACTATACCCATGAGCACAACCACAACTAGAACCACAACAACACCTATAACAACCATACCCATGAGCACAACCACACCCACAACAACACCTATAACAACCATACCAATGAGCACAACCACACCCACAACAACACCTATAACAACCATACCCATGAGCACAACCACAACCACAACAACACCTATAACAACCATACCAATGAGCACAACCACAACCACAACAACACCTATAACAACCATACCCATGAGCACAACCACAACAACACCTATAACAACCATACCAATGAGCACAACCACAACAACACCTATAACAACCATACCAATGAGCACAACCACAACAACACCTATAACAACCATACCAATGAGCACAACTACACCCACAACAACACCTATAGCAACTATACCCATGAGCACAACCACAACTAGAACCACAACAACACCTATAACAACCATACCCATGAGCACAACCACACCCACAACAACACCTATAACAACCATACCAATGAGCACAACCACAACCACAACAACACCTATAACAACCATACCAATGAGCACAACCACAACTACACTTACAACCACAACAACACCTATAACAACCATACCCATGAGCACAACTACACCCACAACAACACCACTGACAACAACACCAACACCCATAAGTACAACAACTACACCCATAACCACAACAACACCTCCAGCTGCAAGTACCACTTCTGCAGCAGCTTCTACACCTCCGGCTGAAACCACCACACCTCCGGCTGAAACCACAACACCTCCGGCTGCAATTACCACACCTCCAAGTACAACGACCACGCAACCAAACACCACTGCTATATCCCAAATTATCAAACCTCCAAGTACCAAAACAACACCCCCAGAAACTACAACTACACCAGACCCTGGTGAATTTCCTCGCATACCCTAGCAACCTTCCCCATAGAAGTTTCATGTGGACAGAAATAGTCAAAAGTGAATGTATAAATACAGGTTCAGAGTGAATTGGGGGAAATTAATGTTCTGTCAGGTTTGACTGACTGACTACTGAGTGTGAATCTGTTTTGTTGTGTGCCATCAAACATGTATTTATTAAGCTTATAGAACATGTCATTCCAATTCCGTTGAAAACCAGAATATGAAAGCCCTGAATGTTTGTTGTATGGGAGGTGATATAGAACAACACCGAGAAATATTTCAGTACAGAGAAAGAGGTCGAACGTATTCTGTGTACAGGCCAACTTTTAAAAAACAGTTTATGTTACATGCGGCACACATGAATGTTTACATGTGTGCTGTATGTTTGTGTTTAATATTGTGTGATTTTGCCTGTTTTCCTTAATTTTGGTTAATTTACCTGCCTTGGTATTGAATTGAATATACGTGGAATACATTTAAATGTATAAAAATGTATTTGTAATTTGTGTACATGTACATGTATTTTTTTAAAAAGGGTATTTGTGATCCTTACATTTGTTTATTCTTGTGCTGCAAGTCTCTACAGCAAAGTGTTTTTTATTTTTACACAACATCGCTGATTTAAATATTTCTTTCAAATGATTATTTTTGTACAAAAATTGTTATTGATTTTTCTGATCAATATTAGACTTTTAAAATTAACTGTTTAGTGTGGGTTTTTTTTGTAGCAACAATCACTTTCACTTAAAGGACCAGTGTGTAGAGTTTTGCATCTTGTGGTGAGATTGCAGATTGCAACCAATTAAAACAGCTGCTCCCTCTGTAAATAAAAATGGCTCATTCAGTTATTATTTTCAGGTGATTATACACAAATGAAAACAAACCTATGAATATTATATTCAGTTTCTACCAATACATCCTCCACACAGGATGTTTAAAGCAACACTTTGTGAAATGTGGTATTTGTAGCGAATTTTTACCATTTAATAGTGGACAGAAAACAAGGGGGAAACACACAGCTACAACATACAACATACACCTTCAGCAAAAACCTTCGCCTGTATCTACCACAAAGAAGGGCTTCAGCGTAGGTTTCTTAATGTATGACTGCAAAGATAAAACTCAGAGTTCACAGCATGTGGATGTAATTAAAGCAGTGATAACAGTAAAAGAAGAGAAATAGGAGTCATGTAGAATATTAGAGTTTGAACTGACCAAAAAGTGAGTGAAAGAAAAAGCAGAGGAAGAGAAGAATTTCTTTACATAAACAAGAAACCTGTTTGACAGCCTTGATCGGGGTGTCCAGTAAAGGTTCCTATTAAGTGCAGTTACGTGAAAAACTCCCAATGTTGACGGGGATGTAACTTCCACTCAATTTACACCAGCTAAAGAAGTTCTAAAAATAGCACGTGTTAATAGAGACTCACTAACAAGCTGTAAATTATGTACTCTGGCTCAGCATTTCCCATCTGGGCTACAACGTAGAATGTGAATCGTCATCCTTGGAGATAAGAGTAACAGTAAAGATCCAAATTCATTAAGCCAATCCAACCATACCAGTCATGACTCATTATATTGATAATTCCTAATTAAATAGCTGGATGGTAAACCCAGTGCATCATGGTGTCACTGCAGGTTTTTCCAGTGATTTGTTTCATATATTTTGTAAACATGTGTGTCGGTGACTTACCTGGTTTTTCAGGTTATTTCCAGGTAGCTGCTGTCAGGCCTTGTCTCCTCCTCAGTAGGAGGGAGGAGTAATGGTAAACTAAGCGCAACGTACAGTCACAGGTTAAATGCTCGTCTGTATCTGTTGCTGAGAAGTCACACCAGACACCATGGACAGAAAATTCCTTAGTTGGATATTTGTGCTTGGATATTTGCACGCATCCTCTGGACAAAGTAAGATAAATGATTGCTTACAACTTTATTTACAAGTTATATTAGTTATAATATATTTTTTATTGTTTTGTGTGTTTGTATTTTACATTATATTATGCCATATTGATCAGAGTACACTGGAGATAGTAGTGATGTTAAGTATTAAGAAAAGTATTTCAGTCTGTGTTTTACATTTAACATACTTCAAAATGTTGTTGTTATTGATTTATTATTCTCTCCTATAAAAATATATTGTAGTCTAATAAACTCAACTTTTAAGTAATTTCAACTGTTGATGTAACTGTAAGCTAGATCTGGACTAAAAAAGTTTTTCCGTTGTTGTTACAAATTATAATACAAGGACTAATTATAAACATTTACCCATGTATAACTGTTAGCCAGAATCGTCTAAAGATAAAACAATCACATTGTATTTAATCTAATAAGTAGTTATGTAATTAAAATAAGGTTAAATAGAGATAGTTAATTTGCTTTGGTTAATTTCCAAGATGGCTTTTACTGCCTGATTGATCTGCCAAGGACATGTCAAGAGCATGAAACATAAATCCAGGCTGGCAGACAGCGTCAGGTGCTACCGTTTCACTTTTGAAAAGTTAATAAAAAGAATAAAATAAAAAAGTTGAAAAGAATATTATTTGCACTTTGATTTAAGAGCATTGTTGGACATTATAAATGCAATGCTGCTACCTAAAATCACCAGGATAAAATGCATACCAGCCTGGAAAGTAGCCGTTGAGATGTTTGGTGACAGTTGTACAAACAGACAATGGATCCCATTGTTTCTACTCCTTTATTAAAGTCCGCATATGAGATAAACATGACAAGGTATATGGAAATACTGAGGTATTTGACTTAATTGTTTTTCTGAAATTTTATATTTATAATTCTAAATGATTACAGCTACTACATCTGAAACCCTGGGAACGTTTGAACCATTTGTATTCAATATGACTGCTACTCCCCTAAACACAACACCCCCAACGACCACAACAGAAGCAGGTAAGCTATATTTTTTCATATATTCCTGTCAATTTTCCTACTTTTCTATTCAAGCGTCTTGACTTGCAGTACTTGTTTCTTTGTCTATAGTTTTCTTGTTCGGCGTTTACTGGTATGCACCAACATACCAAGGCAATTTCCTTGTATGTTAAAACCCACTTGACAATGAACCCATATCAGATTCAACCACCACAACTAATCTGGAAACAATACGTGAAGGGTGAAGCTAACACTGACAAAGAAACTTAATTGACTTTGATGGGTTATAAGTTGAAACTTGACACTGAAAATTGACACGAGAAATAAGTTACCACAATGGATGACATTTCAGGGGGTTCAAATTGTTTGGTTCAAGACAACAACAAAATATATGAGTGCAACATCTTTAAACTAGACTACAGATGCTTTTAGACTTTGTGGTCGTACAACAAGGAATCCTGATTAATTGGACTGGATTGAAAATTTTATTTATCCTGAATTATTCCTACATTTTGTCAATGAACTGACCCCAAGTCTATCTGTAAATAAAATAAACCAAATTATATGATAAGTGATTCAGAATGTATCTTTAAAGACTGCATTAAAAGACATTTCTTCTCATTTGTCTTCTGCAATAATAACTGCAATAATTGTATGTTCATAAAATGATAGTGTTAACCAGAGAGTCTTTTAACATTGACATTGTAATAAATTTGTATTAGTCTTCTATCAATTTCCACATGTCATTTTATTTATTTATTTATTTGTATCCCCACAGTCCTGGACTCACTGGCACATCTACAGGCGAAGCTAACTTCATACGGAGAGGTCAGCAATGCAACCATCATTAAACTCGTTAAACAGGTAAAACAGAATGTGTAAAATAAAAGCTTTTGAAGACTCTTCGGCTAAAACGATCAGTTATTGAGTTCTCACAATATAAATATCTCTGTTTTCAATCCATTTAGTTCTTTCGAGACAATCTCCTGAATGGAACAGCCCACGCAGTCACAGTGACAGAAATTCAAAGGATTGTAGATTCAACCACAGCTGCAACTACCATAATCCCAACCACCAGACCCACGATGCACATCAACACAACTACAACACCAATAACCCCCTTGACACCCACACCCCTGAACACAACAACACCCATGACACCCACAACCATGAACACAACAACACCCATGACATCCATACCCTTAAACCAAACAGCACCCTTGACACCCACAACCATGAACACAACACCCATGAACCCCACAATCAAGAACACAACAACACCCATGACAGCCATACCCTTAAACGCAACAGCACCCATGACACCCACACCCCTGAACACAACAACACCCTTGACTCCTCCTGCTACTTAAACCAGAATAGGAAAGCACTGCATGATTGTTGTAAGGATGTAGAACACCAAGAAATATTTCAGTACAAGGAAGGAAGTCCAAGACATCCTGTGTGCAGGTCAGCTTTTTTTTTTTTTTAAACTTTCCATCGCATGTGCTTGAGGCACACAGTATGAATAAGTGTGTGGGTTTGTGTGGTTTTGGCTATTTGCCCTCTGTTTCAGACTCTTGCAGTCTCTTGTATTTTTCTTCTCAACATTGCTGATTTCATATTTTTTCAAATTATTATGTTTGTACTAAAATTCTTCATTGTTCTCTAACAATTTAAAAACTATTATTTTGTGACATTTCTGCACCGTCAAAGTCAAACCATTATAGACTTTCTGGTTTTGCTTAGATGTAACACTAGATTTTATAAACCAATCCGCAGTTTTATTTCATGTTTAATAATCCCCTTTTGAAAGATAAATAAAGAGACAAATCTATTTGAAGTGGCCTTCGTGGTGTTCTTTTTGTGTTCTTAATAAATACTTCAAAAAGAAAGTTTATTGTGACTTTTTTATAACTTTATTACAAGTATTACAAGCACACACACACACACACACACACACACACACACACACACACACACACACACACACACACACACACACACACACACACACACACACACACACACACACACACACACACACACACACACACACACACACACACACACACACACACACACACACACACACACACACACAAATTGTCGAGATCAGCCTTAAAACATTCGGTGAAAATACAAATATCAAGTGAAAATGTTGCTATTAATAGGATATCTGCATCAACAGTATATTGTATTTAACTATTAAAAAATTAAAACAAAACATGGATGACATAAACATTGGTCTAGGCTTCCTCATCAGGTCATTAGTGGGAGTTAGCGACTAATGCAACAAACTGCTCACAGACCAGCACCCAACTGTGGCTTTGTCTCAGTCACATTGTTCATATTCTGCAGAAGGCTTTGAGCTTTACAAAGTCAGCTTCAGTGGGATGAGAAGTATCCAGGAGGACGTCCACTTCATAAACTTGTGATCACTGCTACACTGCCGTCCTCTCCATCTCTCTCTGTCTGGAAACGTGTAAAGCCCAGGGCCTCGCGCATGGCTCTGCTCAGAAGCATCAACAGGTCTGCAGCCGCTGCTGCTCCCCTCGGCAGGAAGAGCTCCAGAGCGCAGGTGGAGACATAGGGCAGACGCACACCTGACATGCTTGCATCCTGGAAAATGAATTCAAAGCGAGGGAAATGCAATTTATCAGTGGGAAGAAAAGTATGGAAGCAAAGAAAAGCAGTGGTAATTTTAATATTATATGCACCTGAATAGCTGTGATGATAAAAGGTAAAACCACCATAAAATACTTAAGGTTTGAATTTAAATAGCATTGAATTTATAGCATTAAGAGTATTTTACTTTGAAAAACATCTATCTGAATTTATTTTGTTTGAATTTACTGTTTTGAAATTCTGGTCCGTCATTTCAAGTTTTGGCAGAGGCAGGTTCACACAGTTGAGATCAAGATCAAGATCAGCGGTCCATGATTTCCTGTAACTCATATCACCTGGACCTGTGCTGATCTGATAGATACCAACCTGAGAGTAAAACCGCAGGGAGATCAATCTGGGAAACCCAAGAGGAGGCAGATGATCAGCTCCTGTGATGAAGGCGAGCAGGTTTTCAAAGGAAAAATCTGCCTGACCATCTGAGAAGGACAAATTAAAGTTAAAGGTTCTCATAGTAACTACTGAAACACTTTTATCATCTGAAATCAAGAGTCTTTAGTTCTTTACTCCACCCATCCCTCTGTTCTTACCGCTGATTGCGGTGAGGACTGTTTCCCAGTGTCCGGCTGTTGCCTCCTCAGCTGCCCTCAGCTGGCTGTCCGGACAGCTGTAGCAGGCGGTGAAAAGCATTTTGAACTCTTCCGGGCTCAGAGGCTGCTGCTGTGTGCTCGTCATCACTGGCAAAAACACCTCCCAGTGGGTCAGTACCGTATCCCACAATCCACCACAGCTTTTCAGCCCCTCGGTGAACTGGGAGATCATATTGGCCACCCTGAAGGACAGCAGAGGGACTGAGTGATTGTTTAATTGGCTCACTAGCTTATTTTTCTATGTCAGATGCTATATGGGAGACAGCACTGATTTTTAGTTTCATTTTCAGGGCAGATGATATTGTAGCAGCCGTTCCAATGCAGTGGAGGCCATGCAATACTTACATAAACCAGTGTATGGGACATAAACTACAAGTGAATGACTATCTGTGTGTGTGTGTGTGTGTGTGTGTGTGTGTGTGTGTGTGTTTGACCGACCTGTGATAGATGTAATGTTTGACAAGGCGTTTATAGATGGCTGGTATTTCATCAGAGTGGGCTGAATAGATTCCAGGGATACCACAGCTTGACACCCAGTCACACAGACTGGGAGGCAGCAGCTGTACCTCAGTACAACTATGCAGCTAAAACAGGAGCAGAGGAGCGTTATTTGTGTGTGTGTGTGTGTGTGTGTGTGTGTGTGTGTGTGTGTGTGTGTGTGTGTGTGTGTGTGTGTGTGTGCGGTACTGCACAGATTACATTTTTGAGGCATTTTTCTCTATTTGATAGGGGACAATTGAGACGTGACAGAAAATAAGGGAGAGAGAAAGAGGATATGACATGACACGAAAGTCCCCGACAGGAAAGCAAACCGGTTTGGTAAATATATTTGTGTTCAGTTTTGCTCTACTGACATGGAACTGGAACAGTGTAAATTAAAAACAAGAAATCTGGAAATAGTTGCTCTTCCAAACCTATAGATAATAGATTCATGCATCATTTAAAAAAGGCAGAGACAAGAAAATGTAATTCACGTTGCGTAGTTTTTTGGAACTTAACCACATTTTTTACTCATTTTATTTTCTGAATGTGGTGATAGAATTGAATTGTGTGAAAACTTTTATTTTATAGTTTATTCTGTCAGTTTGAAGTACAGGCATGTGAGGTTTCTGCGTGTGTGCTACCTGTTGCAGTCGGATCTGTACTTCAGCATCAGCAATGTCACTCCAGCTGAAGTCGTCCAAAGATGGATTCTGGCCACACATCAACTGTGACGCGCACACACACACACACACACACACACACACACACACACACACACACACACACACACACACACACACACACACACACACACACACACAATAGAACAAGCAGTGGTCGTCACTCATCAGATTATGGCAGTGTATAACCATGCTGATGTTAAACAGCATTTTTTTCTACTTTGGGGCAGTTCTCTAAACATTATGCCAACATGTTATCTCCATATAAAGTTGACATAAACATGTTGTCAAATTTAACACTTTACTTAGGATTAATTTGAAACGTAATGTGTTATAAAAGAGAATTAACTCATATAATTTAATGATCTTTTATGACCATATTTTAGACAAAGTAACAGGAATAAGTTCGATGAAAAAACACATTGGAAAATTTATGATAAATAATTTTACATTTATTTATCACCTATAGGTACTTCTATGTATGCTATAGCAGGGGTCACCAACACGTGCCCCCGGGCACCAGGTAGCCCCCAAGGACCACATGAGTAGCCCTCAGGCCTGTTCTAAAAATGAAAATTGAATATTGATATTATCTGTTTTCCACCTTGTTAAGTCATTGTTGATAATTATTGTGAGAAATCATTAATGTGATCAGTGTCTTCACATAGATGAGTATCATTAATCATTAATAATAATATATATAACTAAAGGCAAACTGAGCAAATTTGTTATTTCAGAAGAGTGTATCAAACTGGTAGCCCTTCGTATGACTCAGTACCCATGAAGTAGCTCTCAGTTTCAAAAAGGTTGGTGACCCCTGTGCTATAGTAATGCAATGTTTGTGAGTTTTCCAGCTTTTACAAGCAAATATTGATATATGTGATTGTTTGCAACTAAATCAGCAAACATTTGTGTCTCTAGCTCTGCCCCTGCACAAAAAACAGTACTTTGCATTACATGTTATACATAAAAAGACGCATGCACACAACCTGGTAAAGTGCAGGGTGTAGACAACGAGGTCCAGGCCCACCATGAGCCAGAGACCAGCCAATCAGGACGCCTGCTTCGTAATACTTCCTGGCTTCAAGAGCTGTTAGGTCATAGGTCAAGAACAGGCGCCCCGGGAGACCCTCAAACACAGAACTTTCCTGCAACTCCAGCAAAGTCAATCTGTGTGAGAGGAAATTAGAAATATCTGTTGTCAGAGATTCACATATTACAAGATTATGCTTTAATTAGCTGATGTAGAGTATTATTATGAACAATGACTATATATATATATATATATATATATATCATATGACTGCTAAAGCAATTAGACAATTAATCAATTAGTTGATGAACAGACAATTATTTTACTTTTACCATTTTTTTTGTCTTTACTAAAGTAAAATAAGTATTGATTCACAAAATGTGTGAATTTTTGTAATGATAATCATTTTGTAAACAATTTCTCCATAAATTATGTAAATGTAAGTTTAAAAACACATTTATTCATATTGGATCAACAACTAATCAAGCCAAGAATAATACCAAGCCAAGAGCTTAGATATTGTATTATAAGCCTACAAACGAAACTTTAAAAACACATGCGATGATGATATTCAAAAAAATAGTATAATAGTTTAAAAAAACAGGATGCACGATTTAAATCACCAACATGTGCTTCAGGAAAAACATGAGGAAAATAATAATAAACCTGAAGAACTCTCTGAGAGGTCCTTCGTGTCCATCAGTCTCCTCTCCACTGAAGGTGACGATGGGCGTCGTCCTGAAACAGAAGTCCGGCCTCCTCACCGCCTTCAGAGCGCTGTGGAGCACGTCTCTCCTCCTGACGTGGATGTCGGTTTCTACATCTCCATTTATGTTCTCCTGTCTGAACAGTCTCAGGATGGCGTCCAGGTCGAGTGTCGACTGCACATCACAGGGACAGGTTTAACACAAAGGAAATGATCTGGGGGGAAAAGTTGTTGCATTTGTTCTTTTTCTTGTCTGTTGTGAGTGAAACAAACTCACCTCCTCTGTGGTGCTCCCCGCATGAGGCTGGGTCGGTCTTTCCAGCTGATGGTCTTCATCCGGACGGCGTTCTGTGCTGGCCTCTGGGCAAAACTCTTTCCTTACAAGAGACACACACACACACACACACACACACACACACACACACACACACACACTTAGAACACACGTAATTCAGTTGTATGGTTTATCATTTTTGGAATATTTCTTTGCAGGAACAACTAATGCTTACATACCTGTTCAGCACAGGCGTCTCACTAGCTGACCTCTCAGGTTCTGCCTGTTGAGAGAAGAATTTTAACTTTAAGCCCTTTGGAAGAAAAATGCAAAAGGGGTAGACCACATACCCTCAATTTGAAAGGATTCATCTTAAGGAATCCCATCTAAGTATTTTTTTAATTTAATTTAAATTATAATAAATCACAGCCAACCCTATGTCTTTTGCTTGCTGTTTCATTTTCCAAAAAATTATAAATATGTCTTATATTCCTTTGCTGGGGACCCCCTATAAACTCGCTGTACATTAAACCACTGATCAATGTAACATAATATACTGTATAAATATAAATGGAAACCAAACATCTAATATGAAAATGGCAGCTGTTTGTTTTACCTGTGGGTAGTCCTGGTGGCTCAGGATGTACAAAGCACCATGTCCAGAGATGCTGAGCACCTGCTCTCCAGTCCAACCCTCTGCAGGGGTCTCTGGGACAAACAGCACCTTGGAGCCCTGCACAGACTGGAAACCACACATACCCTCGGATATAAATACACCAAAATCTGGAAGAATCTGAGTCATTTGCCACCAGATGTTATATCTTAGTATTAATTGTCTTAATTGTCTGTAATGTTTGTTGTTGGTAGACCTAGTTCTTACAGGTATAGAAATACACTACACTACACTACACTACACTACACCACACACACACACACACACACACCTGAATATATGTGAAGGAGAACCTTTGTCCCTTTCGTTCCACAAACAGCCCCCGGAAGAGCATCGCCAGACGACTATGCATCTGATTGGCCGACCAACCACAGTCAATGGTGATGCGAGCAGTCATTCCCATCGCCGTTAGAGCTGCTAGTTCTTTGCCTCTTGGAACAATGTGTCTGGAAGGGCAGAGAGGAATATTTATATATTATTTATATGGAGAGAAAGAGGGGATGACACAAAGCAAAGGGCCACTAGTCGGATTCGAACCCATGACCGCTGCAGCAAAGGCACCCCTTAATTTGTACTTTATTTGATAATAGAATATCTATACACATAAGCAATTTAGGATTATGTCACTGGCATGACACTAGAGACCAAACTGAATATGTGTCCGTCATTTATTGTACAATATATACCGGTTATACTGCCAGCTGCTTCAGTGAGCAAGAACGTGCTTATCAAACCCGATATTTGAGATATCTGATAGCTCTGTGGCTTAATTTGAGATGTTTTGGTACTAGAGAAGTCACAGTAGAGAAGTCACAGTCCTAACTGGAGAAGGATCATCTTCTGGGGAGCATGAACGTGCTCAGTAGTTGCAATAAAACCTATCATGGATCACAGATATGGTTAATCCTGATTAATTGTGAGAAGATGTCACAAAATAAGAATCATCAAACAGAGACCATGAATATGCAAACTCTATAAAATGTCATACTAATATAGTTAGAATATTTTGCTTACACCACGATAACACCTCTCACCTCTCCAGCTGTGCCAGGAAGGGTCCTCTGGGTAGACAGACCACATCTTTGACCACCAGTCCTGTCTTCTGCGGAGTCAGTCTCTTCCATTTGAGACGACTAGCTTTGTTCGGGGACAGCTGCAGCACACAGTACAACATCACACTGTATTAACATGATGGATCCACAGAACAGAGTTTGAGTACAAACCGCAAAATGAAGTCAATGGACAGATAAGCAGATGAGATATGTTGATAAATTACATTAACCATGCCCTCATATTGCCCAAGAATTTTAACTTCAAACAGATGCAGTTTGTTGCTTTTCTGAAGCAAAACCACCTTAGAAAAGGGCAGTAAAATGTGAGTGCAAGTATAGCAGGAAGCAACTGGTTGTAGCACGGGACAAAAGAAAACATTAACATTTAATTGATTGATAAGAATGAGCTAGGAGTTACTCTTTAACAGATTGCTCGCTAGCAGTTCCTCATTCATACATTTGTTCTAGTAAATATTCAAACTTCTATGTCCTTTATTGTAAAGTGTTGCCAACACTTTAAATATTTGATAACTGTAAATGTTGTAATTCATTTATTAAATAAAAATGTGTACAGAAGGTAGGTTCCAACTTCTCTGAAAGCTATGAGCTTGTCTCCACCTCCAATCATAATAAAATTAATCACTTTGGGTTCAAACTGATGCTCAGATGACTCTGGGAAGATTCAGGCGGCATTTGTCCTTACTTTCTCACATTTTGTACACTAAACGGGCAATCCGTTAAAAAAAGGAATAAACACAAAGAAAAAGAAAACACATAAAAAATGAGCAAAAAAGCAACAATTAAGGAAACACTCAAACTTGCAGATGCAGCCCACACATGTACCCTTTAATATTGTGTCTATCTAACTGACCTATAATTGACAGACTTCACTATACGATGGGTTTATTTATCCCAACTGCAATACACAACCTGCTGACTGACTGATAGAGCAAACTGAAGCTTTCAACACAGATAAAGATAGGGGGACAGATTAGTGTTGATTGATCAGTCTTTCCCCATGTGCTCAGGATTAGTGCACAACAAAATCTGTTTTGGCCAATACACTGAACCTGATCAGATTCTGTTTTAACCAGTGAGATGCAAGGAGGCTCAGTGGTTGCGGTGATCATCATCCAATCAGATAAAATGAGTTCATGTTTGCACACATTCCCTCTGCTGGAAAGTTGACTTGCTGATCAGGAAATTACTTAATAAAACCTGAGGTGACGTACCGGGTTGGTGACAGACATGAGACTCTCAGACACTCTGGGGGGAGGAAACACCTGTATGGAGGGAAGGAAAGCGAGAAATGTGCCACTTGGAAATGTTACCTTGACACAATCTTGACGAACCTGCTCATAGAGCTTCTGAACGGCTGCTCAGAAGAGAGTTTGTACTTCAATAGGCTTAAACTTCCATTTCTTTTCCACAGTATTACAATAAGTGGGGGTGGGACTCTCTTATACATTGCAACTCTATAAATGTATTTATTTACTTATCTACCTACTTAAAATCCCTCATATTCACTAACCTCCATTTCTATCTCAATTTCATCCATGAATTCTGGGACAGGGAGGCCGTGCTTGGCCTCTTCCTTGGTGGGAGATTCTGTTTTGGGCTTGGCCTGCTGCCTGGGTTGGGTCTGAACTTGGTCTGGCTCTGGTTCCTCCACACAGTCAGGGACCAGAGGATGCTCCAGGTATCTCTGGGTTCAGGGGAAATAAGCGAAACATATTTACTGTGCATGAACACACACACGTGATGCTCCATATGGAGGGAGCATTCTGGATGTTTTAAAGTATATTTTCTGATAACACTTACATTGACCTCTCTCTCTCTCTCTGTGTGAAGAATAGTATGTTCTCTGTGTAAAGAACTGATGTTCACATGATGATGTCCAGTGCCTCACACTCATTTGTTTTGCAGGGAAACATTTGCTTTAGGCAATATGTATGTGCAAAGACAGCTATGTATGTGCAAAGACAGCTATGTTCATGTCTGTTTACTGTAAATACACCACAGTTTCCATAAATGATAATATTTTGTATGGGAAACAGCATGATGACTTTTGTTTCTTGTTTCAGTTCTTGTTCAGTAGCCTACTATACTACTGTAATTTTGTTGAAAATAAGTTGTTGTATTGAGGAAATGTGTGGTTTTTGATTTAAAAAGGCCAGTTCACCCAAATCTAGAAAAATTAGAGATTAGAAGAAAATCTTAAAAAATTAAGCACACATTTTTTTTCTATCTAGCCATTTGTTTGCATTTCCTGGGTTTCTGACATATTAGCAGCTAATATTTCTGCTCTCACCCTAATAAATTGAAGTGTATGTAATGCAGTGCTCGAAGCATTGAAATAAACTCAAATAGCAGTTTCTTTCCAGAAATAACAACCATTTACAGGTTTCAGCTGCACAACAAACAAAACAGTATTTACTTTCATTGTATTTGTGTGGCAGCAGAGGTAAAGGAAGGTAAGGGGTCATATTTCAGGGTTTTGCCTTCAGAACATACTATTTGGACTTTCTATGAGGGGCAAGGCTGTTACTAAACCCAAAGACATTTTCTTTTAGTTAGTTTAGTTCTTCCAACGTACAACTGAAGCTGCATGCTGAGCTGCAGTGTTACAGAAGACACACCTGGGCAAAGCTGTATTCTTCCTCCTTCTCCAGTGTTGATATCATGACGCAGGGCTCCTCTGAAGAGAACAACTCCATCTCAATGTTTTCAGTGATGGACAGCAACACCATCTTGCTCTCTTTCAACTTCATCCTCTCTGATATAACTCTTTATCTCCTGTAATTCCTACTTCTTTTTCACTCTTCCTTTAAGTCCTCTCTGTCCTATGTGTGTTTTGGCCAGATCCAATCTTTGCTTTAGCCTTCACTTTCCTCTGCTCTTTCCCTTTATTTAGCCTTATTTTGTTTTATCTCATTGCTCTCTTATCCATTTCATGCCTGGTACTGCTTTCTATTTCCTCTCTGTAGTTTCCCCCCAAACAGTTGAACCTCCAGATATTCTTTAGGTGATGGTGGCCCTCCAAACATCTGAACTCTCATTACCTCAAGGTGAGATCTATCAGCGTCTGAAGCTCTGATTGGCTCAGAGTTGAGCTCTCGGGCTGTGATTGGTTCTGTGGACTGCTCTGAAGCTCTCATTGGTTGAGAGGTTTGTGAAATTGCTCTGGTTGGTTCTGCAGCGTTTTTAGATTACATGTTTTTTAAACTGTTGATTCCAGTTTCTACATAATGAATTTAAGTGTTTAAAGGAGTCTCAGATGTCTCATGTAGGCCAGGTATAGAGTTTCCTTATGTGTTTAATCAACTCCTTATTCACACATCCTTTGTAGTTTAATCATTGACCTGATGATTGAGTCACTTTTAATTGATCACTTAATACTATTCCACTGTCCCCTAAGTAATTACATAGTCAGAAAAATACTAGATCATAAAATTAAAACACATATTTTATGAATAGATTTGGACTTCTAGGCTCCGTAACTCCTAAAATGATCCACTTTAGTGTCTTTTCTAGACAAGTGAAGGAAGACTTTTCTTGGGCTCTTGATTCAAACAGCTCCAAAACAACAAACAGCCTTAAATTTGCAGACTTCAGCAATCATACACCACAGCGAGATCTACTATCTTATCAGGCTTTGTTTAGTTTGAAGTCACACCTTATTTCTCTGGTGAAACTGTGGTGAGTTCACAAAACCCCACCGACCAGTGTGTAATCAATATGTCAGTAAACTGAAGCAGCAACACAAGACACCTTTGCTTATCAGCAACTTAATACCATATTCTTTACTAACTAACTTACATGAGTTTCATATGAACCAGATGAAATGTCAAAGGCGTGAATGACAGTTTTCAGATTTTCTTGAGAGGAAGAACATTTCAATTAAAGAAAAGAAAATTATGTTAGAGGAAGCAGGAAGTTGTGAGGAGGTACAAAACAGCTCTGGTGAACTGGTTGACTGCAGCTTGGATAAAATATATTTTGGATGAAGTCCAAAGTACTTGCTGCTTAAGTGATAAATGGGAAAAGGTTTCTGCGTTCTTGAAATTGCATTACAAGGTTTTCACTCAACCGTGACAGAAACAGACGGACTGACTCGAATGTGTCGCTTCAGTTGTTAAAAGATATTTAGCTACTTATGTGAATTGGAGAGTAAAACATGAAACTCTAAAGGTTTTCTAATTTATTTTTTCTTTGCATTTACTGAATCAAAAAATTAGACAAAAATCTGGTGGTGGCCCCCTCAGTTCTAAAGTGCTTTAAACTCTTCGTTTTTAGGATTGCAGGACCAGTTTTAGGACTACAAACTGCTAATAAATAAAAAATAAATTCTCATAGTAGCTCAACATTAATGTTTTTGTCACCGCATACAGTATATAACTTACATGTTTAGACATGTGTCTCTGCAGCTGTGACAGTGTGAGATACAAACAAACATACTTTAAAACTGTTACAGAAATTACAAGTAAAAATATGAAAGACAAACCAAACTCATGCAAAGCAATATCCATGTACAAACAACAACTAAAAATCCAGGAAAGAAGAAGAATATTGCATTTATAAGATGGATTGCGTAGCTACCAGGAACCTGAAGGGGAACCTAAAACCATTTTTTTAATATCTTTTTTAATATACTGCAGTCTGTTCTTGTGTAGCCTGTATATTCTATTCTTTTTTTTAATATACTTTGTCAGCTAAAAACAGATACATCACCAGAGTGGCTGATTAAATGTTTAATTTAACTGCTTCAAACTCCAAAAGGTGGTCAAGTATTTGTGCCATCACAAACACGAAAAAACCTGTCCATTGATTGTCTGAGAACAAAATGCTGCTCATAGCGTCGAGATTAGAGATCCAGGATTATGTTGTGAGTGTTGTCAGCTTGTATCATCCTCAAACACACACTGCTGAGGGTCTTCTGAGCAAATCACTGAACCCTCAACTGCTCCGGTGCAGTAGTGAGTACCGCAGTCATTCTGTGCATCGACACGCATTCATTCAAGAAGGAGTGACACTATGTGTTTGTCATAGTGTCAGCCCTTTGTCTTTGTCTATTCAATGTGTGTGTTATGTTGTGTTGTGTTTGTGTGTCTGTGTGTGTGTGTATGCTTGGGTCAGGCCAGCAAGTGTTTCTGGCTGCATGTCAACAGGTGTGGCAGGAAGTACGAGGCGGTGCCGTCGTCAGGTATCAGCTCCAGAAACTCTGTGGGGCTCGTCTCCATGGCAACCACAACCAGCGTCTCTGTTGGCATAGAAACGAGCCGCATTTAAACCCAGGCATCAAAATATGACAACACCAGAGCTGATCTGCAATCAGGGTTGTCAGTTCAATTCATTTACCATCATCACCAAGGTCTAAATGCTGTTTGAAACCCTCTGTGTACTGCCAGAAATAAACTTGAGGTGAGAAAATAGTTGATCTTGTATCTATTGATCTGCTCTGTTGGTTTAAGAATAATATAAATTTAAATATAAAAAGCCTAAAATATTTAGAATAACCCAAATTATCCCCACCATGTGCACATATATTATATCCTGGGGGTTAAAATACTGAGGACAGATTTAATTTCATGACTTTGTTAGGATGTCCAGATTGTTGTCAAACCTGTTTGACATCAAAGTCAAAGGAGACAAACTGGGACTCAGAATGCCCAGAATAACTATGTCATGTAGTCATCTGGCCTCAAACTCAGAAGAAAGTAGTGGGATACTTTACTAAGACTAATGGTATTCTGTACAAAGCTTCAACCTTTGAGAGCAGCCAATAGGATGCTGTTGTCTGATGCAGCTCTTGTCCTGTTACAAAGCTCAGGGAGCAGCTTCTGCCACCACAACACCTACAGAGAAGAGACAGACAGGGTAAAACTTCTGAGAGCGTACAGAGTCAAACGGTTACACACTACTGCGCAGTACAGACCATATTCTTGTCTTGTAACTGATGGTTGGCGTAGGCTATGATGGCCTGAGGACATCGGTCCAGCAGCTTTTCAATGCTGCTGTCGTACTGCCCCCTTCTGGTGGAACAGAGGAGGTGCAGGCTGAAGCCCCATAAGGTTTCCTCTGACAGGCGCTCTAGAAGAGGCACGACGGAGCCCACAGACAGGGACGGACCACACAGGAGAGACTGGAGACACAGGCAGGCATACAGAAACGTAAAATAACACAATCTTTGTTTTACAATCACAAAAAGTTGAGTTCATAAACCAAAAAAGAGAAATGAAATACCATTAAAAACACACTGCGGTCACAGCCTCTTTTGACATATATTGCTGTGAAACTGTAATTATGTAAGTGACTGAGCTGTTTTGCTCACTTTTCTCTATTTGTGCTACTGTTCAGGTCCAAAACCAGGGTTTTAGAAATGTCTGCCATGTCCAGGTAGTCCCACAATCTCAGATTTTATTTACATTTTCCCACTTTTAATTATTTTTATTAACAAGTTTTCATTGATTAAAAAACAGCTGTATCCCTGAATTTTCTTACAGATGGTCTAAAAGAGTTTTCTCTGCTCTGCTGGGAATAACTTCCTTGTGAACACTAGTTAAATTGTTTTATTTGATCAATTATTATTTCATTTTTCTTGGCCTGATAGTTTACTTTATCTGAAAAAATGAAGATAAAATTTAAAGTAAACTTCATTTCCTGAGAATTACATAGAAAATATTATTTCAATATGTACACACAGAAGTTTATTTTGTCCAGTTTTAGTTATATATTGTTGCATTTTCATACAGATAACCTCTATTGTTATAATTTAAGTGTGTGTATGAGTCTTAAAAGTGCTAAAAGCAGTGCATAAGGAGTAGTCCTGCAAAAATCTATTTTTAATCATTATTTCAGTTCCTTTTATTTTACAACTTATAACAGTTTGAAGGCAGATGGTCTCTCTGATCTCTCCTCTGTTAATGTAATGTGATTCTAGCTTCTTACTGAGGCAGCTTCACTGGTGGCATACAGAAGTGGACTTATTTTGTTCATAGACAAATTACCTGCAGTTTGTGTAGCGCCTCCTGGTGTTGGGAGCTGGTAGTCTGAGCTGGACTGAGAACAGTGAGCCACGGGTACAGAGCACCGTAATGGATGCAGGAGTTTATCTAAGACACACACACACACACACACACACACACACACACACACACACACACACACACACACACACACACACACACACACACACACACACACACACACACACACACACACACACACAGGCCTTTGTGATTAATAAATATCAACAACAGAAAATAAAAAGGTGGCATCTGAATCTGAACGTGAATCTTGAACAGCCGTCTCTACCAAACAAACAAACACGACAGCAAAACTTTTTAGCAACTGTACCAGATCTTCAGCGCTCTTCAGCGACCTGCGTCTTGAAGGTGTGGGTGGAGGCTCTGAGTTTGCCAGTCGGTCGATGTAGACAGACGCCACTCGGAACAGAAGTTCCTGGATGACGGCTTCCTGTGAGGAGGCCATGAGCATCGCCTCCCAGAAATCCACCTGTAAGCAATTCTCACAGCCCAGCTCCTAGACACACATTTAAAATCATAATTAAAGCTATTATTTTGCTGCTTAGGTAACGTAACAAATCAGTGAGATGATTTTACTTCTTGCCTCCTAGCTGTGAATTACCAGGTGCTAGTGACACACACGCACACACACACACCTTGAATATTTGATCAGCCTGTTCCAGTTGAACTTTGTTGTTTTCATGTAGGGCCACCATGGCAGCCACCAGCAGCCCCGGTTGGGACTTTGCCAACTGGCGAGTCAACGCCGTGGGGCGGATGTGTGCGTGCTGGCCTCCACCTCCACCGTGCAGCAACAGCCTGGACTCCTCAATGAACCCGTACACCAGCAGCATCTGAAGACACACACACACACACACACACACACACACACAACACACACACACACACACACACACACACACACACACACACACACACACACACACACACACACACACACACACACACACACACACAGTTCTGAGAATTCATGTTTTCAAGTATTGATTCATTTACCCTTGAATACACTGTAGGAATAACTTAGCAATTATTTAGCGAAGTTGTCCCAACACAGGAGAAGGAGATCTAATAAAGAAAGCAGCATCAAGTCTAAAAATTGGCAAACGTTCAATAACTTGGCACAATACCGGCACCTAAAAGTGCCTGAATGAATGATGATATCAGACATAAACTCCCTGTTGAATAAGGATGAATTTCCAGGAGAAAGTTGACTTATCTCAATTTCACTAATTTATTTTGGGCATGTCAAATAAACATGCTAAACTCTCCTCCTCCTACATCAGACAGACTGGATTCAGAAACACACGTGGAACGTGTATTGTGTACACACACACACACACACACACACACACACACACACACACACACACACACACACACACACACACACACACACACACACACACACACACACACACACACACACACACACACACACACACACACACACACACACACACAGTCCCCTCTAACCTCAGCGTGTCTTTCCATCATCTGTGTGTATCGCGGCAGGTCGTCCAAAAGCAGCATCATGGTTGCCATGGTGATCGTCAGGGGAACCGACACGCCGGCCGTGTCCTCCAGATGTTGTAAGATTTGCATCGTCCGGGCAGGACTGACGTTTACCATGGGCGGGCTGGCACACACGCTGACCAGCTGCGAGGGCTCCGATTGGCTGAAAATGTCTATGACCTCATCAGCAGCTTCCTGCAGGAAGAAAATTAGTTAATTCTTCTTTTTATTTAGTTTCCTTGTATATTAATGATCTTTAACTTCTTAATTAGATGTTTTACACACAATACACTACAACACAGACCTTTTTTTAGGACATTAACATTGAAATTTGGTACTCAGGGATAGATTATAACAGTTTTAGTGGTGATGGACGTCACTTTCATATTGTTCATTCTAATGCTGCAAAGTAAATGTAACAATGACTTATTCCATATGGCACCTTCATATCTGTTTGTGCAGCAGTATGTTTGAGTACCTGACTGAGGCACTGCTCTGTTTCTTCGAACAGGTAATGCTTTAGGTAAAACAGGAAGCCGGGGCCGTAGGAGTGAGGGCTGCTGGGAACCGGGCGGTTTCTGGCCATGACCTCTGTGACAGGCAGACCAGACATCCTGTAGTACGGCAAAGCCAGATGGCAGTCCTTCTGACCGCTCCTTCCAGAGCAGAAAGGAATAATTAGTGCTGAAACAACTTTTAGTCAATCAAAAGAAAATGAATAAGCACCAACAAATCATCTAGTAAGAAAAAAATAACATTCTTTCCAGCTTTTCAATCTATTTGATGCTTTTCTCTGATTTATATAATTTGAAATTTTAGGGGAATATACAACTGAATTTTTATTTAAATAAACAATTTGCTACGTTTTATCAGGGTCGAATGCAGCCCTGAGTCCACCTGTACTTCACTGCAGCATTGGAGGTCAGCAAATACCTTTTTCAGGGGTTGTTAAGTTACTCTTTAAGGTATATTCCCTAAATGTACAAATTGGAAATGTGTGCAACAATTTTAGCGATATAAAATAACTTAAGTTCATAAAAGGAATTTTCTGCATAGATTAACAGATGATTAAGGTCTTTCTAAAGCTGTTTTAAGGTATGTTTAATGTGTGTGTGTGTGTGTGTGTGTGTGTGTGTGTGTGTGTGTGTGTTACCTGCTGAAACAGTCTCCCAGCTGTGCACAGTTCTGCCTGAGTGCTTCTTCCAGTTCTTGACTGTCTGTCTGCACAGCTGTGTCTGTGTCTGTCTGCAGAGACACCGCGGGGTCTCCCTCGCTGTGCTGCTGCTGCCCCGATGTTTGGAGTAAGGAGGCGCGGAGGAGGAGGTGAGCTTCACTGAGGAGGTGCCGAAGGCTTTGGGCCTGAGGGTTGGACTCTGCATACCGCTGACTGTATTCAACCTGACACACAGAGACACACCAGTCATGCAGGTGAGTATACAGACTCATAAACATATTTTAATATTCGTAATATAAAATTTGCATCGTATCAGGTCTCGTCTGTCTGTAATCGAGTCCTAAAACCTCACTTTCTTAAAACAAAGCTACAAAATTCTTCCTAAACCTCAATCATTTTCTAGGAGTTTCTCTTTGTATCTTAAAAAAAGAATACAACAAGAAGAAATAATGTCACTTCAGGCACATTTGTACTTTCGTCTTTAGAAAACACAATTTCAAGGAATTCTGACAAAATGTCTTGAAAAGGTATCCTTGGGTAATTCAATGCATGTCATTCTTTTTCTCCTCTACATGATCAATTATTCCTTTAGTCTTTCATGAGTATATTAATAATTGTGCATTTAATACATAAGTAAGCAACCACAAGACAATTACAACAATAAATATAGTGAGTGTGTCTGTGTTACCATCTCTTGGTAAAGAGTGAGGGGGGAGACGGTGTCGACCACATAGAGGTTCCACCCGTGTCCCGCTGTGCTGGTTTCTTTGGGAGAAGACATTGTCCACTTCCTGCTCCTGAGGACAGAAGTTACACAGAAAGGTAACCAAACGTAGAATCAATCAGAAAGTTAAATCCAAACGTCTTATTGCACAGCGAAGATCTAATCTAATCTCAAAAGATACAACAAAATACATGTACTACAATTCATGAAAGCACGCCAGGACAATGAGTAAAAATGTAAACATGCGTTAGGTGCCATGCATCAGTGACTCGGCCTCAGTCAGTCTGAACATCTCCTATAGAAAGTTATAGGATTACATGAAGTGTCACTAACAACTGTTGTTGTTCTTCTCTGCTGTTTCTTCACCTTCATTTTTTTCCATCTTTGTTCCTCTTGTGGACAGGTTTGTAACTACAGTGTACAGCACACTGATAACACACTGAAGGCACACACAAACAATAAACTGAACATTGCATGGCAGGTTTTCCATGAAAGCAAGTGGAGAATTGCTTCCAGTTTACGTTTCATGACATTGCTTGTGCATTAGAAACCAGAGAGGAGGTTGTATACTGTGTACCATCATACTCCCAGTAAAGAACAACCTCTTGGATATTGTGATATTTAATACATGAACTGCATAATACTATAATGTAACACTACTATTTACATGACTAAACAAAGTTAGACAACTGTTAGTGAACAGTTCTTTTTAACCTTTAATTGTTTATGTTCAGGGATATACAAGGACAAATACAATCGCGCTTTATGATGTAACATAAAAGGAACAAAGGTTTGTGCATAACAGGAATGTCCAAAGCTGAAATACGTGCAAGGTACTTTCTGCTTCTGCCATTGTTGCCTGTCACCATATCCGGAGAAAGCACTACTCAGAACGTTTTTGAAAAGGTCCAGTGTGTAACATTTAGGAGGCTCTACTGGCAGAAATGGAATATAATAGTCACAGGTATGTCTTCATTAGTGTATAATCACCTGTATACAGGAATCGTTGTGTTTTCGTTATCTTAGAATGAGCCGTTTTTATCTAAAGACGCCACGGGTTGCCTTCCATGGAGTCAACCATGTCTCTACATTAGCCCAGAATGGACAAACCAAACACTGGCTGTACGCAGGGCCTCCTACACACTTCGCAGCCCGTTGCTCATTCCCAGGTTGACAAATACAGAAGTGGTGTTCAGTTAGTTGCAATCTGCAACTTCACTGCTAAATGCTACTAAATCCTGCACACTGGACCCTTAAAGTGTTGAATCCTTAGATACAACTACAAGCACAACAGTCAGGTGTATGCAACATTGCATGAATTATTATCTATGTTATTTTTGTCAGAGAACACATACAATTGGATTATTAAATTAGCAGAGTAAAATCCCACACGTTTTATTTCAGTGATTAGTTTGTAAGCAAAATGTCACACACACACTGAGGGCAGTTAGGGAGGTTATGGTCGGGTAGGTTTAGGGACTAAAACAGGAAGTGTTGTCACTTTTCGACCAAGCTGTAAGGGCACACTAATAATATAATTTAGCGGTGTAGGTAAACACTTAACTGTTAAGGGTTTTGTAAGGAAATGGGTACATTGGGACATTATTTTCCCACTTATTTAGAAAGTTGATACAATAAAAGACAAATAAAGTCTCAAGAAATATTGGAAATGTGAGTGCTTTATATCTTTCTTTAATGAAAAAAATGCGTTTGGTTGAAAGGATTTTTCCGTAGGATGTAGTTTTCAATATATGTGTATATTTTTTATATAGTTTGTCTTTGCTTACATACTGGACATACTCTTATTAACCAATATAATCACTATTTGTATTCATTTGCATCATAATTATAGAATTTATGTCTTAAATGATTACAATTGTTGAATTTCTTATTCAGTAGAATAAACTGAATATTTTTGCTTTTTTTTTGCAGCTCACAGGGTTCTTCTGAATCGTCACATTAAATAGTCCTACTACCTTTACTTTCTTCATTTTCCGAATAAAGTAGTACCTTTACCTCCCTTACAAACACGGTTAGACTAAGGGAGAGATACCTTGACATGCTGAACTTGTGTCCACTTTTCTTCACAAGGCATTTGTCATTACGTATGAAAAACATCCAATAGTCCAGTTATATAAGCTGGCATTCAGCAATATTTGTTTCAAAGGCAAAAAACACAAACAGAGGAAAAAGCCTTTTTTGTGACATAAAAGGTGAAATAGAATCCAAACAGTCAAGATTTCCCTTAAGAGCTAATCTAACGCTTCGGTTAATAATCATCCATTAATGTGAATGGTTTGAGGGTTTCCTAGCATTGCAGCTTGGCCTGGAAGTGACAACAGACGCCGAGTAGGGGGGGTTGGGGTTTGTCTTACAGGAAGGGGCGTGATAGGAGGCTCTCCAGAGCTGGCGTGGTTGCGGGATCGATTCCCACCGCCAGGAAAATACCAGTCAGCATGGTGTGCTCTTTCAACTCGCTAAAATAACAACACACACACACACACACACACACACACACACACACACACACACACACACACGTTTATAAATGCATGTATGCACGCACGCACACACACACACAGACACACACACATCACCAGTGCTGATCAATCAAGTGTTCTGGTACCCGCAGGGAGGAATCTGATGACATATCCAATGAAGCCTTTAAAACTAAGACGTGTATGATAATCATTTGTGTTTGTGTTTAACTATGAGTATTGTATGTGCACCCGAGTGTGTGTGAACGTATGGGTGTGTGTGACTTACAGGCCTCTGCGCTGTGTGGTGCGTTCGGTCTCCTCTGGTGTGTCTGTGTCAGCGGTGGAGAGCAGGATGACATGGCGGCCGTAGACACACACTGATCGCAGACCAATAAACAGCTGCATCCTGAGCGCACACACCTCCAGGCTGCAGGGTGGACAGGCCTTCAAATACACACACACACACACACACACACACACACACACACACACACACACACACACACACACACACACACACACACACACACACACACAGTACAAAATAAATAATGCACTCACAGAAATAGCTACAAGAGGGCAGAGGCACTGTACAAGCTGACAAATCCACCACCTGACATATCATCCCCTAAAAAAGATGTAATATCAGTCATTTTCACTCTCTTTAGTTGTGTTTTGGTCTCTGCCAACTCCTAAGAATATTATCTGACTCTTTAGCTGCTAAATGTTCCACTTTCTTCCCCACCTATTTAACAACTGTATGTCTGCAGTTGGGTGCGCGTCAAGAAGCACATTGAAAGCACCTCCCTGCTGCTGCTGCAGGTAACAGGGTTGAGGAGAGTGGCGAGACCGAACCATATAGTAAATTAATCAAAGAGGCCACAAAGCAAGGTCAGGCTCTTACCTTCATGGTGGTATCGATGTAGGGGTCTTCGATCCTGGCTGTTACTGCTGCACAGCGCACCGTGAAACACTGCAATGCATTCCTACCGTGCACAGAAATCAAGATACAAACTCACTTACTGCCAAAACAGAAATCTTCAGACTACAGTAGTAAACATATTCCATCTTGAATGAAGGTGAGTCTTTCATTTTCACTTAATGTTAGTTAAAATAATTTATCAACATTGACGTGTGAAGATTAATGGATTTCCGTATCGAATCAGATCGCAGACGTACTTGGTTATGACGTGCAGCAGGTAGTCTGTTAGCACCGCCTCCAGGACCTTCTCTGGATACTGATAGACTGAGAGGAGCTCCACACCACCCTTCAGACTGTACAGGTAGCCGGCGTTGGGTAGAGAGAAGAAGCAAAACACACATGCTGGTTCCTCCAGAGACGCTGACTGAGTACCTGCAGAGAGAAAGACAGAGGCAAGAGTTTTTGTGAATAATGTTGTGGTTACCAATTCATACACACCTACATATACACACACATTAACATACAAGTACTTCCTCTTTCCAAGTTATTTTGTATGTTATAGTCTTAAACTTGAAAAAACAAAAATATGACATAAAATCAACCATTTCCAACACTAACCAGCCTACACTTAAAGAGAAATAGTTAAATTATTCTGCTTGGCTTAGCCACCCATGGATTGTGATTTACAAATCAAGTCCGATGTTCCATGAATATCCTGGAATCAGACGTAATTTTATTGATAAGAATGCAGCAATCAGCCTTTTTCTCTCTTGTTTCAAGATGTTGAAAATTCTATATTTGAAAAACACCTGAAAGCTGGGAAACTGAACTGATAACTGGCAACAGGAAAACAGATCTTGAAAGGTGAGGCTGAAATGTTATAACTTAAGAATGATGGGAGTTGCAGTGAATGTTATGCAGGGATTTGCTGCAACAGAGCTTGCAGCTCAGTAGGGAAAAATTAAGGTGTACAGTTAGTTTCCAGGACAACATATGCTGTTTTTATACAAACATCCTTTCTCTCTATGTCAGTGTTTATCTGTATCTCATCCTATCTGCTGTACTGACTGGTGAACAGCGGGTAGAGCTGTAGGGAGTGGAGCTGAGTCTCCTCCACACTGCAGCCCTGGAAGAAGTCTGGAGTGAAACGCCTGCAAGACAGAAATGACCAACGTTGAAAACACCTCACGTAACAGAAATACACTCACTGTAAAGATCTAACAGGCGAACTGCTCACAAAAAGCACACACACACACACACACACACACACACACACACACACACCTGAAGAGAATGTATGACAGTGTGTATTGTCCTCTGTCTTCCAGCCCAGTCTTTTCAATGGTGACAGCGATGTCGCAGTCTTTAGCTCGATCACCGAGCAGCTCCTGATGTCTCGGAAGGAGCAGAAAGTCAGCCTGGTCTTCTAGATGATCTGCTGCGCACACACACACACACACACACACACACACACATACACAAACATCACAATCAGTCTCTTGTGTGGTAGCACAATAAAGCTTAGGTGTGAAGTGAAAGGAAAGGTTTATTTTGTTAAAGGACCAGTGCGTTGGATACAGCTGCATCTAGCGGTGAAGTTGCTTTAGATATTCATGTATATGTTAATGTATATTTTTATGTGGCTTTCTTGGTGCACGTTGCTTAAATTCATATCATACAAACAGAAATAAATGCAGTAATTAAAGCTACAGCATAAATCCCAAACGACATCACAACCTTTATTTGTGTCCGATGATTCTTCCGCGGTTTTAGGTTCGGAGGATTCATCCAGTTTCAGTACTAGCACCTCCAGCTCCGTCTGCACTGCCACATATCCTCCACACAGCGCCACCTAGGGGGCAGAGGAGGCGTTAGAGTAACCAAGGCCACAGACTGTCAATTGTCGCTGTCTGAACTCTAGAAATACCCAAACTAAAGCAAATGTGTCTTCTTTTAGTGAAATTATCCTTTTTTAATTATTTAATAATTATACTATTTAGGGTTTTCCCACTGTTTATGTTCTGTTCCAGGTGTAGTCCATGCTACCAACTTATAATTGTTGTAATTGCTGATCATAAAAAATATTTCAGTTGTTTAGAGAGTTTCAGCAAATAATTGTTAGCTTAAAAATAATATTTATATCAACAGTATATCAAAAGTATATAATAAAAATGTAAGATACATAGTTAGTATGGATTCTAATTATTGTGTATAACAACTCAACAAAGTAGTTATGCTGTCGTATACCGTTATTATGGATTATACCTACTTTATGCACATACTCAACAACATAAACCAAATACCAGACCAGTTGGATGTTATTTACTGTTTATTTTATCATTGTGTATCAGGTAAATAGATTGAACCATGAACAAAATACATGAAGAGTAAAAAAGAAAAGAAGGGCTTGAAAGTACCCGTTTAGGCTTGATTTTCGGAAGATGCAGGATAACCGAGCGCTCAAAATCCAGGATGGAAACATTCTGGTTTGAACTTGAGGTCTGACCTAAAATCAAAGAGAGGACAGATCAGTCTGAGGAGGAAACAAGAGTCTTCTCTCATCACAGAACCGTACCTCCACCACCACCAATCATATATGCATAGTTCACTGTAACTGGAATACGCAGCTATAGTTTACACTTTACAGACCGTTTATAAGTTTTGGTACAAAATGAATCTTTGCCTGAAAATTGTGTTCACAATCACGTGTTACTTTCCGTGAGTTACCTTGACTCTGACTGGAGCTCTGCTGCGTGTTCGGCCAGGTGCTCTGAAGGATCTGCTGACTCTGATTCTGCTGGGGGGGGATTTCAGAGAAAGAAACATTAGGCTGCTGCAACATTTAGTGTATCAATTAGAATCTACTTACATTGTTTAAAGTAGGAAACTGATATTGACAAAAACATGCTTTACATGATAAAGACTTTTAATAAATGTACCATATTTGATATTTTATGAAGGCTCAACGACACAATCAAAGGGAGCTTTTAATGTTGTAGAAAACTGTCTGGTTTGAACCTACCAATCCAAAACTTCTGCCCTTGCTATGAAATAAAACAGCTTTTCTCTCTTTAATTAATACACTTTAGAAAGTGTTAAAGTAATTTAAATCAAGATAATTTATAAAAAAAAGGTCCACAGTGAAGGGAAACTCCCAGGTGAGCAGCTGAATTCTTACCAGGCTCTGCTGGTTCTGTCTCCTCAACGTAAACAGAACCAGGGTGTTCTCGCATCCGACCAGAAGGTCTCCTGTTACGGAGCAACACGCCACAGCAACAGGACGCTCTGACAGAGGGATCTCAATGATCTCCATCTGGACTCCACCCCGCACAGACGCGCCACGCAGCAGGTGGCCCAACAAACGCACCCCGACACGGGCCTTCTCCTCCGCCTGAATGGAAAAGAGGAAACAACTACATAAAAATACACAGAAGAAGTCTAAGAGGAAAGATTATAGAGCAGTAGATGGAAAAACTAACTACAAAAGCTTCATATTCAGACATTCGTAGATGATCTTCCAGATGGTGGAAGACATCAAACTGCTTTTCAAAGGGTTCAAACCTGCCTCAGACTGGACTGCAGAGCATTAAAAAGAGACAGCTCATTTGTCTTTGGTATATTTCCACACACATCAGTGGACCAGGACCAACTCAAACCAGGTTTAATGTTAATGCCACAATGTAGTATCTGACTCTCATAAAGAAATGGTTTTCTAGTTTATATTTTACTGAATAAAATCTGCTATGTTTTTATTTTATTCCCTAGTTTAGATCACGTGAAAGTGAAAATATGGTTTGAATTAAGGTCACATATGTTAATCTCAAATCATATCAGACACAGAAAGCAGAATGGGGTGTACTTGTGTTTCATAGCAATATGATATGAAGCATTTGTGGGAAAGCTCAGTGTGTACCTGGTAGCGCCAGTTAGTGTAGATTCTCAGGTAGGTGGCGCTGTTCTTTTCCTCAATGGTCACCAGGTAATCTCCTGGATGTGAGGGGGGAGGAGGTAAAGAAGAAAGCAAGGATGTTAAAATGTTGTTTCTTTTTTAAAAATCACTAACCTCCCACTGTAACCACTTACTGCTATCGGCTGCTTTGCTCACATATAAAAGTGCTATAGATTAACATTGTGTAGTTGCTGTTGCGGAGACAGAGGCTCACAAAGGAAGAGACGTAATGCTTTTACCTATCTTGCTGTGCTGGATGCTCTTCACAGTGCCCATGGTGGCGAAGCGACAGATGAGAGGGCACCCCTCCTTCTCCACACTGTAGGCCTCCACCTGGGTGCAGTTCAACACATCACAACACATAAGCTTCTTGCATAAACCTCTCATCTCCAAAAGACTGAATTAAGATGAGTGCTATGACATTTAGCTGTGTTTTTATGAGGTTACACTGATATTATATACAAGGGTTAATGCTAAAGTTTTAATAGTTACTGGATATCCATGTAATGGAGGTATCATATGTTCTACAAATGAGGGTTATTTTTACACAAATATATTCAAAAACAGGACAACTATGGTTTAAAAATGGAATATTTTAAGGTAACCTTGCATCCTCCGGTAGCCACCACAAACAGCGCTCCACCTCCACAGCAGACCAGTCCAGGCTCCTGCTCCACCTGAGCCACAGAGAGGGAAGGTGGATTCATTAACACCTGATACAAAACAAACAACAAACAACAAAACAGGCCTCCACTTACCTGCACTATCTGCTGTGAGGAGAACGGATGGCAGTTGTAGACGTGCACCATGTTTGGTTCACCTCTTTGAGAGCAGATTCGATCCAGGGTGGATATTTAACTAATTGTTTACTGCTGCTTTTCTCTTATTTTGAAGTCTATAACCCCCCCACACCCCGCTTCATCTGAGTTTCTTGGAGGCTTCATCCAGCAGGACCCCTACAACCATTTAAAAAAAAAAAAAAAAAGGTTCAAAAGCATTTTAATCTAGTCCAAAGCAATCTCCTATCACAATACAGAGCGTAATTAGAGCAAGACAGTTTATAGATACCCCATCATGGTATGAGGCTATACATGAATTTCTCTTTTCAGCTTCTCAAATGTAAAAATTTGCTGATTTTCTTTGTAATATATGACAGTAAATTGGGAAAATCTTTAGATCACCAAGACCTTTTTCACTATTTTAACTGACATTTCAGACTAAACAATGAATCAAGGAAATAATCAGCAGATTAAACAATTATTTAAAATAAAATTGTTTGTTGCCGTAATGTAATATGACATATAAACCACCTTTTTACATGTAGTAATTCTAATATAATGTCATTTATCACCTGTGAAATGTTGTTTATGAATGAATAAATAAGCACATGTGGTTTTATAGACATTTACATGAATTTCACATGTTTGTTTGTGGTGTTTATAACCTTAAAATACACAAATCAACAGCAACCTCTCTTTCCAAAGGGCCTGTTTATTTTATAGAAAGTTGTTCTCACTGTTAAAGTATAACAAGCATTACGTTTACTTCCCTATGTGTTCATCACATCAACAGAAAACCTGCACTCTAAATGTGAAAGCAAACCTCTAAAACATCTTCACACAGTCGACATCGAGCTCTTCAGTCAAAATATAACAACCAGTAATGTTAAATTCAGATTTCCCTGCATCTCTAGCAGTCCATCAGGGGCTAAAAGAGCCCTATGGTTGTCCCGTGGGTCTCTAATCGATATCACATGCCGCAGTCTTGTGAGCTGCAGCGGGTGCACCAATTCACCTCAGATTTGACCTATTTTACTTTAATATATTTATACTTTAATGCAGAGAGGCTGACGTTGGAGAGTCTTTAGACCTGCGGAATAAAACTATCTTTTTTAAAAGCACTTACTTCAGCCGTCGGCTCTTCGGTTTTCTTCTCTCTTCCGACTTCAGTTTTCACCGCTGCAGTTTATTGATTTCACGCCGTAAGAGAAGGAAGTGGACCGTCAACCACAACAACAGAGCGCCCGCCCACTCTCGGTTTTCATTGGCTCACAAACCTGCCTGTATTGCGTTGTGCGTTCTCATTGGCTATCGAGCTGTCCTGACCTAAAGGGTGGATCTGTTTCTGTTATGACTTTTAATTTATGTTTTTTTTTAAGACATTTGTTTTCACTATATTTTAATTTTTAACACTGTTTTTCAGTTTAAATTAAGACTAAAATAAAAAATCAATCCAATAATCGGTGATATTAAATTACACAACTGCAGATGTAACGTAACCCTCTTTAGTGCTATTTTTGCTTTGAAATAAAACATACATACAAACAAAATACTAATTTAGAAGATAAAACTACAGAGCAATAAATAACTAGTATAAAAAATAGTAAAGATTTAAACAATTAATTCATTTTTTTTTCAGCTTCTCAAATGTGATTTTCTTTGTAATATATGACAGTAAATTGGGAAATATTTAAGTCACCATTTCTTTTTTCACTATTTTATCTGACATTTCAGACTAAACAATAATAAAAAAGAGTGAGGGACACTTTCAGTCCTCCGTTAATCGGACACTGGCGCTGTCCGGTGGAAGCAACGAGCAGTTAATTTATTCAATAATCTACATATAAAAACAGCGTTTGTGAACATATTTTACTATAAAAGATTCAGTTTTATACAGAAACAGAAAGTAAAGATGGAAACAGTACACTTTAAGATTATACATCTTAAATTATAACCTTAATAGCTACTAAACTGTCTTTCTGCTGTTCTGAAACCAGGTCAGAGTTATTAACCTGATGCACTAACGTTACATTAACGTCTGACTGGTTGTTGTGTGGGTCAGCTACAGATGTATTTGTGTATTTGTCTTTTAGTGTTTGAGCTGGCTGACAAGAAATAACAAAGAAAGACTGTGGAAAAGAAACTAAAACAAAAGAAAGGTAGGTAATGAGTAGTTTAGATTTTTTTTTTAATGTAGTAACGTCATTTTTAAACTTCTTATCTACAAAGGGGGCAATCCACGGGGGCACAATAAGAAGGAAGGAATCCCTAATGCCCTATATGGGACATCACTGACAGGAGAACTGGGTGGGGGTCACCCTCCTGTGTCTGCCACCGCACAGCTCTCACATCCTGCAGCCTCTGGATGTGAGTTTCTTTGGACCCTTGAAGGAAGATTTCTCGGATCTTAAGAGAGATCTGTCGACAGTTTGTGAATCCTTCTCCAATACGAAGAAAGTGTTTGAACCCAGCAGCCATTGATTGGTCGCAGGTCGTGTCGTCTGTGGTGCAACCTGAGACCCCTGCGCCAGCTCCACTGACTCCACTGTCACCTGAAGTTAATCACCCATCTCAGGATGCCCTTTTCCCTGTTGACCCGCCCAAAAGTCCATCTTCCAATTTCTACCTCACCCATCCACTGGTAGCATCAGGTCGCGTATCTGCGGATGTGCTCTGCATCATCCACAAAACCAGACTAAACCAAACCTGTAACACCGGAAAGGTCAGGAGGAAGGCCCGGATGGTGATCGTCACCAGCCCAGCAGCCAGTTCCTCTACCACACCTGTTAGCTCTTACAAAAGCGCCCTCTTTACTCCCACTTCTAGCTCCCACAGTGCCTCAGTGCTTACCCCCAGCAGCAAACCATCCCACATGAGTTGCCTTCCAAGGACCAACATCATCTAAAAGGAGAAGGTGAAGTTTTCTTCACTGTTTTTGATAGAGAAAGCATTTCTATTTTACATTTGGACTGCATTTGCATATCAATAAACGCATAAACTTAACTCAAAATGTAGATTTGAATGTTTAATATGATTGTGTAGAGCGTGCAGCAACAGCAGCAGCAGCAGGCCTCACAAGCCCCTTACTCTCCCAACACTTTATATAATCTGTAAAAAAAAAACAACAATATAAAACACATAAACAACTTTCTAACATGTTGGGAAAGTTGACTATAATAAACCAGTAAACATGTTAAGACATGTCTAAGTCAAGTTCTTTTGATATGTACAGTTTTGAACCGTTGGCAGACCTTCTCCAAGCCTCCAGCTCTCCCGTCATCTGGCTCTTCCTCCTGCACTGCTGAACCCGCAGCATCCACCGGTACCTGTGCTCTGCAGTCTTCACATGTCGACAATCCATAAAAAATCAGCAGTTTCCTCACACGCTCTTTCTTTTTCTTTTCTTCTAGTAGTAGTAGGTAACATTGCTGCAAAGAGGCACAAACGCGAAAGGAGGATTCTGAGATGTGGACAGTGCAGGCACCCTTACCCGCTGCGGGATCCAGAAGGACTGGTGTTGTGGGTTCAGTGCAACAACTGCCACACATTGTTTCATTTGTGTAGGCACAGAATTGGACCTGGACGCTGATCAGTTTTTCTGTTTTTGGTGTCTTGATGTTTGATTTTGTTGTAGTTGTAGTGTTTCTGGATATTTTGTAATAAATTCAATGTTCAATGCACTGTATGTGTTTGCAGTTCATGGTTACAGACACATGTTCACATCCTCCCACTGGTGCACTTACTGACTAATACCACAAGGGGGCAGGAGTTCACATAAAAGAAAAGGGGGTCTATGGATAAGATGGATACAAAATGCATTTGCACATATATTCTTACAGCACGTTGGGAGAAGAGTCTGATATACAAATATGCAAACTTCTGTATGCTGTTAGGTGAAATTTAAGGTTCATGTTCATGTGTATTTCTCTTATGTGACCTTTATTTTGTAGCTTTATGTGAAGACGGAAGTGCTTTATTTTGGAAGTGAGACATGTAACGGAAAAGTAACGAAGAAGGTAACTTGTACAACCGTCTTTACTCTGAAGTTAGGACTTTATTGAGGAGTTTAATAGTTAATAGTTTTTCCTCGAGGTAACCAAGTTATTTAAATGATTTCACGTTTCTAATGATTTATAGTTTATTTTGTATTTATGTGTTAAATTAACTAGTTAAATTAACTTATTTTGTTTGCAAAGTCATTTGCCTCATTAAATGTATCATTTTATTAAAAGTTATATCTTGTTTTATTTGTCTGGCGTTTTTCTTGCCTTAATTTAACGAACTTTGAAGTTACCAGAACAAATACACTGTTTATAGGCGATCAATCAGGTTAATGTAATAGGTCTATTGGGTCAGGGTGCAAACTTTAATGTCACACACAATCATTTTAGACATATCTGTGAAGGGAAAGCAACCTCGGAGGTCACATTTTTCTTTTTAGTGACAATAAATAAAGACCATGAAGACCCTGTTTGTATTTAAACGTTACTTTAGGTACTTGAATCTGATACTGACGAAGTTTTATCTGCGTGCGTGAAGGCAGCATCTCTCTCTCTCTCTCTCTCTCTCTCTCTCTCTCTCTCGGGTGCTGACAGGTACTTCAAGGTTGTGGCTCTTTGCAGACCTCCGCTGAGGTGTCGACAGCAACTCAAGCTGATGTCATTCGCCCGATTGAAACTTTTGTGCCGTGACCGCTCCAACGTGCCCCAAAACCAGGCAACCACAACCAGTCCTCCAACCGGGGGGGGGCTCCTCACATCACTGTCCCCCAGCAAGTGTGTGCAGACCGCCCGCAGCAGACCGCCACACCGCCTCCGTGCCTCTGTCGCTCTGCAAGGTAAGACTGATCTGCTTAAATGACTGACACCTTGTGATTTATGAACATTCACTGTGGGAAGGAAATGCAGCAATGCTACAAAAACATTAAATGTAGCTCACTAATCTTTGCTGCTTTCACCTGGTATGATGCACGTTTGAATTGCTGAGTTATCCGATGTACTTGACTGGCACCTGGAACATATATTTGGTGCCTAGTTCAAATTAAGCAAAGATTTAAGGAGGAGTTAAAATTATGTTTTTGTGGAAGTTTTCATGAATTCCTGAATATTTATAATAATAAGGACTTTCAAATTGATGCACTGTTAGTGTTTTAGAGTTACATACGGTGAATCATCTGAAATTATCTTGCATTGTAACCTCCTGGGATTCAGAGTGAGAAAGTGAGAACCCAAACTAGTCCTATTTTCTCTTAGGGGGAGCCCGAATCCCCTGTTGGACCTTCTCCATAGCTGCTTCAGAAAAAAAGCAGATGCTGCAAAGCTGTTTGTAGGTCTACAGTATGTGCAGAAGCCAGGCAGTTCCCTGGAGGAATGCCCTTACCTCAGAGCTGAGTCATGCAAATTATACCTCCCTTCTGTTTCTCCCATCTCTTATCTTTTGAGTTGTTATCACCAGGCCACGATCATTTAACCTCAAGTGCGAGTTATAATTAATAGAAAAAGTGAGTTCTTTTCAAGCCATACATTTTTAAAATATTCTTTATGTTTTCATAAAATCTGACCAATCTTTACAAATCTTTCATTAAAATTGCCAAAGCAGATTAAACTGAAATGCAAATATATAATAAAGTGCTTTTCACAGTATTTAAGACAAAATGATAAAATTCCATACAAGTGAGAACTAGTTGCACATTTTTCTGTCCATATCCAACAGGTTATGTTTTATAGGGCAGCAAAATGGTTACGCAAAAACATGTTTGGCTGACAAACAGGGATGTGGATAAAACCTTCTAAATCATTTTTTTAAGGATGACATGAATCTTTCTAATATTGATTCACATAACATGTACTCATTAGTGTCAGTCTAGTGATTTAAGTAATATGACAGTGTATTAATTCAAGGAGAAAGTACAGAAGATGCACTATGACTGGAAAATTTGAATTTTTTTTATTTTTAAATTACACTGCCAAAGTATTTCCCCCGTTTCCCTCTGGGCTTGTAAAAGAAATACAGACACTTGCATTTAAATACCCAATAAAGCAGGGAAAATAAGCCTCTGAGAGAATATTTGAATCAGTTTGGGAGCAGAGTGAAAATGCAACCTCCCCGGAGGCAAACATCCAAATACCGACTGAAAACTTGCTGATATTGTGGTGCAGCGTGATAATAGCCCCTTCTGCCTGCAGCACAGACACAGTGAAAGTCATCTAACATTTCACACAAATAAGATGTTTGCTGCTGTGTGGCTACTTAGCTGCAAGCCCAGCCATGCTTGATGTGCACCTGCATGTGTGTGTGTGTGTGTGTGTGTGTGTGTGAGAGAGAGAGAGAGAGAGAGAGAGAGAGAGAGAGAGAGAGAAAAAAGATAGAGATAACTTGATGAAGTTGTCAACTGCACAAACCTCTACAGTGGTTTAGTCTTAGCTTACACATTCATACGTGTCCCAAATGCAGGCAGCTGTAAAGTGGCTTTAACTCTCAAAGTCTCTGAGAAGAATATAGAAGAATCCGGTTATATTGACACACAAAGGGAATATGGAAGGAGGAGAAGGATGCAAAAAAAAGTGCAGAAATGAGGAGGAGGTACTGTAGAAAAAGACAGATGAGACAAGGAACAGGAGGCGATAGCACAGTGAGTAGTGAGGTGGTGAAAGGAGAACAAGAAAAAATAACGCAAGGAAGCAAGAGGAGAGAAGGAAGAAGACAAATTTGGATGATTAGACAAAATGAAGATTAAGCAAAGGGGAGATATTTAAACCAGCACTAAGATAACTGCCTCCTTGGTTGTAAAAACACAGTAGTTATTCAGTGTCTAACCCGATTCCTCCTCTGTCATATTCCAGCTGCTTCTATAGTTACTGTAACCTACAGGTAAACACATTCAGACAGCTTCAGACATGTTCTCTCAAGGCAAGTAGACAACCACGGGGATGAAAATGATATTCCACCTCTGTCAAAAGTTTATGTTCACACCTCAGAAACAGTTCAGGAGAGGTCACAGAGCATCTCATAAAAAGTCATGTTGCTGCCTTCATTTCTGGGCTCGGGTTACCTTTTTATTTAACTGATCTCAGGAGTAAGGCTTGTTTCTTGTTAGGGCTGTGACATTATGCTTTGTTTTTGACACAGTGCAGACATGTTGACCGAAAAAGCACCGCAAACCGCACGTCTGCCTCTTTATGTGTATTAGATCCACTTTGGTGGCATCGTGGTGATATGGTCATATTGTTTTATCTTATACAAATCATTTTAATTCCAGCAAGTAAATATACTATTACGTTTTTTTAAAGCAAATCTGTTAAAGGTATAATCATAGGTTTATAATTTTTAATAGGTTTTAATAACTGACTTACAGTTGGATTATTTTATGTGATTTTTGAAAAGATTTGCTTTATAAGAACAATATGAAAAACATATTCATATGATAATATTCTCTTATATGCTCAAAACAAATCCTCTGGCCCCAGTAGCCATTTGTGGTGGAATCATTTGCATGTTACCGATCAGTAACAGTTTGTAATTGTTTTAATTGTGTATGTACAGCAGGTATTGAATGAGCAATATGAATTTAACTTTGGTTGTATTCCAGCTGGGGATACTAGGTTTTCATGTTTGTTCCCTCAGCACACGTCTTTATTCGTCATACAGGACAAATGGGATGCAACCTTACCTGCCACCTGGATTATTAGCACAGTCACCTGAGACTGAAAGTCGGCGACATTGTCTCATCTTTCCTGTGTAGCGTCCTTCATTTGAAACAATCAAACATTGTGCTGCCTGGCTCAGTAACAGCAGCTAAAATTGGCTTGGTGGTGATGCTGATGTTATTTTTGCAGCTTAATTCAATTGCTTGGATTGTGTCAGTCTAATGTGATTGGCAAAAACGGATGTCCTTGGACTACAGGAGACAGCCAATACAGGCATTAGAGAGTGACTGGGTAAATGGAAAATCGTCATCTAATGCTGCTGTGACTGCTCTGAGCTTTGAGTTTGATAGTTGCTTTGGTATTTGGTGAGTGTCTGTCAAATAGCCAGGCCTGTTTAGATCATTCAGCAAGTTGGATGCTGGGATAGGTCAATTTATATTCTATAATTCAATGAACAGTGTGACGGCGCTCCAGAGAAATGTGGTCATGGGAAAAAGCTGGGGTCAAACCAACGGGGAGAGGAGAGGAGAGGAAGCTTGGATTGGACTTGACAGGAAGAAGAACCCTCTGGGGAGTACGAGTTCAGTTTTGTGGATAGTGAACTTGTTCACTGGTTCTACTGGGATTAATTTTCCTCAGTGCTGACTTCTTTTTTCGACTCATCAGTGCTGACCTTTTCTTTAGTCTCTCATCCTGTCAGCACTATTGGGATGTGTACAAGCATGTCCTTCCATTGTAAACAAAGAGAGAAAATGCCAGCGCTGTAAAAAACGAGATCCCCGGGAGTTTCACCAGACGATTCTCTTTGGCCCGCTGGTGGCTTCCCTACTGAGTTGCCCCTGTCTTATGAGGACAACCAGTATTTGTTTCTAATCCAGAAAAGGAAATCTGACCTCCCCAAAGGACATGCAACAAATGCATAGTTTCCCTTTTCTTCCCCCTAGCAAGTAGTTTCTAAGCTCTCTAAACTGCTTTCTTTCCTGCAAGTCTTCCAATTAAAAGCCAGCGTTCATCTGTTTGTCTGGAAAGATTCTGTGATCTTTCAAGAGTTTTCAATCAACCATGTGGAGCCCTTTGGAAATTTTACAAGACAAACCGCTCACAATATCAGGCAAAAGCCTCAACACTTTAAAATGACATACAGCTGTTCAATAGTGTATGCTGCTCAGTTGTTACGTGGATCATCTGGCTGAAAGATGCTGTGAAAGCTCCTGATATCTGTGCACAGTAGACAGGGTGTGGCCAACGCAGGTTTCAGGCTGCACAAGCTTCTCAGTTAACCCCAGTTGTAAACTTGATGGCACATTTTTATGGTTATCACATAGAGGACACTGTTTCTTAGACCCTTTTCCCTCTGTGATATCCCTTTTTAAATGGGTGAAAGCAAAACTAGGAAATTTGGAGCAGCAGTGGTGGCTCCAAACAGAAGTTAGAAGTGACTAAAATGTAAATTGCGTGTAAACTTCACACAGAAACCTCAACTTTACCGTTTTATAAAGTCTTATACCAAGGAGTAAAAGACGCAACGAGGGCTGATGTCCTTGTTTTCCCTGAATGAAGCTCTGACTGCCGGAGTGACATTTTGACAGTACTAATCCAAAAAGTTAAGGTTCAGGAATGCTTGCACAGTGCAGCTTTTAAAAGCACTTGTTTGTTTTAACCCTTTGGTTTGGAGGCTAATTCCTCCGAGCTCAGTCAACCCGATAAACAGCAGTGTGTAGGACTGGAAGTGTATTAAGGGGTGTCAGAATAGGTAAAATGTGGTCATTAATGTTTGTAGTTTGTAAAAATGCGGTCCCAAAAAGTGCTTCTTATGTATTGCTCATTTCAAAAGGAATTTTATTTCTCATGTAACTCCATAGTGGAATTACCTTGTTACCCTACTTATAATATTAAACCTTCAAAATTCAGTCACTCTTACCTTAAAACATTATAGTAACTGCACTTCAGTGTGAGTGATCTGTAAAACAAAGATATGATGTTGACCAATACTCACGAGAGAGTACTTCCATCCAGACAAAGTCGGCATTTATTTATTTATTTTATTTATTGTTTATTTAATAGGAGCCATTCAGCTAAACGTGGTTACTTACAGAAAACAGATGTAATTGTTATTTATCTTATATAGCTTTGTTTTGTTGGTCTTTATCCACTATGAGTGCGTTGCCTAATTACCAGGACTAATAATCTTTATCATCACCGTAAATATGGTGCAACAGTAGTTTGTGACATTGCATGTTAACAGGAGTCCTCCACCAAATTGACCTCCAGTAGGGAAGGTGACTTAAGCTGATGGATTAACTGGGCAGTAAGAGATGAAGATGAGCTATGTTAGTGTGCATTATTGCAGCATCAGCATAATGTGTATCTAGCATATCATAATGACAGAGCAGGCAATGGCAATGACTCTGCATGCATCCATTTGTATAAGTGTGTGCATTAATGCGTGTGTGAGCTAGTGCGCTTGACACACTAACCATGAGTAACACAGCTTTTAGTATGAGGTGACACACATAAGGAACAGCTGCAGAGCAAACACACACACACACACACATACAGTTAATGTGGTATTGAGTTAGACAGATCTACATTGTTGTCCTGAACCCTATAAACGGTACTGAGGAGTTACAGTACATTTAAAACATTTAGACCGTTAGTTAGATCGTATGGAACATTTTATTACACAAATCAAATGAATGTATCAATGTTATTTATTGTTTCACAGCAGTATTGGATTTTTATATGATTTTTGCACAAATGTGATGAAGTACTGTGACTTGTCGAGTGCTTGACTTTGCTGAATTAGCAAATAATAGACATTTACGCCTGGTTTTCACATTCTCAATTAACTGTACTGAAAAACTAATAACCAGAAAACTTAGTATATCGAGATCAGTAAATGTCCAGTTTTATCATCTCCTGTTTTATCTACTGTTGGTCATCAGCTTTCAGAAAAGGGAACTGTTCACAAGGAGAGGGCGAAGTCGAAATCATTTGTTAAATGATTCCTTTAACGTACTAATATTGGCATCATGTAAGAGACCAGGCAGAGTAAGAGGGCAGATAACGCTCCTTCAGATGCCTGGTACTGTATACGTACCGTGTATAAGCTCATTGCTTGTGGGACATAGAGGTCATTCATTCTCCAGGACGACCTCCATTTCTCCATTAGGTTAAACTGGAAATGGTGTTAGACACTGACAGGAGTCCATATACTGTATGAACGAGTCCTCTAATCTACATGATGACACGCTCATAGATGAGATTGATATGATTGAAAGAGGGGCCAGGTGTGTGTGTGTGTGTGTGTGTAGATGGATCCTGGCGAGTGGTCGGCTGTGGTGGGGGTCTAACAACCTTTAGTCATCATGTACATCTCTGTGACATCACTTAATATGATTGGGTGGGGTTTGGGGGGGGGGGGTTCACTGCACGTGCTCAGTTACCGCCTCCTTGCCTGACAAGGTTTTTGTTGTTCTGTCTTCTTTATGCTGATAGAAACACACACATACACACGCACACACACACACACACACACACACACACACACACACACACACACACACACACACACACACACATAAACCATAATGACAGTACAACCCCCATGCATGCATGTGTGCTCTGCCACTCACACAATACAATACACAAAGGACACAATGACACTGACAAACAATAATACTACCCGACAACACACAGGTACTCAAATACAGCGGAGGAAATCATTACTGCTTTCATCAATAGAAATGTGTTTCCCATTGATCCAGAACAAGATTATTCAGATATATTTCAGATCTCTTCCATTCTTATGAGACTGTCAGCATTTCAGAAGAATATCAAAAATCTATAATGCAAATATCCTGAATCAGTTGATTAGCTGGTTTTGTGTACTTTTCTGTCTTTCAAACAGAAAGTTTTATTTTTATTTTACTGCAATGTAAGTGTATAAAAATGACCTGGAACACAGATTAAATTAAATTATGGGTCGGCAGCGTGAGGATGTATATCGTGAGACTATGTACATTTATGTACCATCAGAGAGTTCAACCATATGGTTTATATTTTAGTAGCTATCCCTTTGAGATCTCTGGTTGTATTAGGCCATTGTGGGCCATGTTTAAAATAATTGAGCAGAACTGATTTATGGCCACAGTGGATTTCGATATGATGTTTGCATCATTCGAATAAAGAACCTTGATTTATTGTGTATTTAAATGAGCTGGATTAGCTGAAAGCAGACATACTCATATGGTTATTTAGTCAATCAGTTTCTCAATTGATTTTCCAGAAAAAGTATTAAATCACAATATCTACATCAATATCATGATAAATAAATTACATATGAGCTTCGATTTAGGTGGCGTTTTTCTTTCTTTTCATGTTGATAAAATGACAAAGAAGCTTAGTTTAGTTCAGAAAGATTAGATTCTAAGATTAGATAGATAGATAGATAGATAGATAGATAGATAGATAGATAGATAGATAGATAGAGCATGTCACTGCATATTAATATGTGTGCGAAAAACTATTTGGGTGTACTAGTGAGTGACTCTGATTTCTGGCACTGAGGTTATAACACTATTAACGCAGCAGTGTACAAAACATTCAGGCAGCTTCTTGTTTATGGTCGGTAGTAACTGTCACGTTCACCAGTTAAAATGACGAACGTGACCTGATTAACAATAATTCTGTGAGTAACCTGATGACAGGCTAAAAATAAACTTGGCTGTTGTTAGGTTTGTGTGCTCTCTGCAAGCCAGTGACTGTACTCAGCCGAGGATAAACGATGACAGTCATCAAGTGTTTCTGTTGTTCCAACAGAGTTTACGTATTTTCTGAAGCACATTTCCCAAGTTAATCTTTAATTCGTATACCAATGATTTAAGCTTATAGACTGTCTAACTTCAGTATTTGGATCAAGTAGCTCATTATAAATAAGATGTGGGAGATTTAGTGGGCAAAAGCTGTTTTAACATGATTGGGACATCCATGGTAATCACTTACGGCCACCTGCTTTTTTTCTGTTCTATATAATTCTGTCTCCTGTTCTCCTCTGTCTGCAGATATAGTGTAGACATTTTGTCTGCCAACTTAAGACACTAACAGGATTCTTATAAAGGGCAGCCAGTTTTTAACTCAGCAGATTTTCTCCACTAACTCTTTCTATACTTACCAAGATTTATCCTGACATGTAGCACTGTCATCATTTAGTATTTCATCACCTTGTGTTCATATGTGTGTGTGTGTGTGTGTGTGATGTTGCTGTAGTGACAGCGCAGGGCTTCTCGGTATAAATGATTTGTGGTAGTAATCAGTAGAGGGCGTTTGGATGGTATCGCTCTCGTTCCTAGTATCCAGTTCCTTCACTTCCTGAACGTTCTGCTTAATGTTTTGTGGCCCAATCTTGACTGGCGGCAGATAAAGACGCAGAGTTTGATTTCTCAGTCTCAGTATCAGCCTCCTGTTGAGACTGAGGCATCATCGCCCAGAGGTGTTTACAGCATTGAAGTGTCTGTTGTGTTGCTGCTAATCGCATTAGACCGATAAAAGAAGACTTAGCTACAGAACAACCCGGCTGTGAAAAACAAATGGTCTGTTTAGCACATGTCTGAATGTGTGCATGGACACAAAAAAGTATTGTGATTTGTTATGCTTAACATCACCAATATATGGTTTTCAAAGATTGTTGCAGCAGCTTTCTAACAAACATCATATATTCTTCAGCTATTGTTAATGCTGCCAGGTTTTATATTGAAATGACCTGATTTAAAATAGTGCAGTTAGTCGGCGCAAGTCTACTTTCTTAAAGTCAGAAAAGAAATGGGTAAAAATAGAATCCCAAAATAAAGTCAATCAGCAATCCTTCATTTTTCTATGGCTATTTTTGAAGTACTGCACTGTACTGTAGGAGAGGAGTGCAGTTTGTGAACAGGCTTGAGAAGTATTAAATTATGTCTCGCACAGACTGAAATGGCTTGGATATATTCTGTGAAATCTCCCACATATGATTGCAGTTCCTTCTCCTAGACCCTGCTAAAAGGTTGTCAACATACATCATGTACTGTATGTCTTGTTGTACTTTCCAAAAGCCAACTAATAGTAAACTGGCAGATTCCAGAGTCATTACTAGTGAAAGTCACTGTGCAGAGAGGAGATGAGTAACCTTCATTTGTGTCTGTGTGTTATTTTTAAATGAGATTACGTTCACTAATTGCATTGAATCTACTGTTGTGTGAGTTTAACAATAACGGGTTTCACAATTTGTAGCTTTGGCATCAATTAAAATTTTTGTTTACTTGTTTAGATTGTTTTTTCCACTAGCCATCTAAATTAAACTGATCAGTTATTCCTTTGCTGTGTTTCAGGTTCCATCTGAAAGAAGAAAGTGAGTGAGTGGCAGACTGTGTGTGCATCAGCGTACGTGCCTGTGTGTGTATATGTGTCACCATGAAGCACCAGTCTATCTCCCGATGGCTGAGCCAGCTGGGACTGCCACAGTACTGCATCGCACTGGAGCAGGAATACGATGGTGTAGAGGTAATACAAACACACACAGAAACCAACAAACCTACCAAAATCTAGAGAGAGATTTACATCAATATTGTTTTTTTATTACGGTAACATAATGTCTGAATACAGGCTTGCCGGTTCCTGAGAAAACAAGGTGGCAGTAGACTAAATGTACCTGCTGTACAAGGTTACAGGAACAAATCTGAAATCTGATGGAGCAAAGTAAACTCACTTAAAACGTTCACTCAAAGTTTCTTTACCACAAGATTTTAAATATGTCTCCGAGATTTCTGGCTCTACCCCAATGCAATAGGTTGTAATGGGATTTATTTTGTGGTTCTCGAAGCATTGCTGTGAACTACTTTCTACGAAAGAAGTGGTTCCTATTGAGATACAGCACATAAAACTGACACTATCTAAATGTCCAGACTGCATTAGGGGTGAGTAAAAAAAATATGTTATTTGTAATTTGGATGAACTGACCCTTCAACGTGTCTCTTTACAAGGGATTTCAGTAAATGTTTGAGGAAACCATTTTCTGTTCTGGTAAATGCAATTGTTGTTGTTGTTGTTGTTGTTTTTGTTGTTAAGGCCACAGCAGCCTAATAAAGAAGCCAAATAAAACTTCATCACAGGTCTATTAGACTGAATGAACAGTGATGTGGGGGCTGTTTTAACATCCCACCATTAGGCAACTTCAATTTGAACATTACACAGCCATTGGCTAGGAGATGAGATTGATTAGCCAATAACACATGAATTATTCCATTACAATACCTCCTGCTAATGTTCACCCAGAATGCATTGGTGCAATTAGTGAAGGCAAACCAGGGGAGACAAGGACAAGAATGTGTTGTTCTAGTCTCATTAAACCATAATGGAGTTTACATTAAAGTTGTTTGAAATAAAGTTTGAAATAATATAACCAGTAAATTTTGTTGTGCACCGAATGAAAGTCTCTTTAAGTTGTCTAAAATAAATGCATGAAGCTGATGACTGGAGCTACTTGCACTACTCTCAACTGTCTTTTTGCAAAGTAATTAGAGTTATAGGGAACACAAGAACTAAGAATCACACTCTAACCCCTCCTCGACCATCCTCCATGCATAATGAACTCGGCTCAGCGTTGCTAACCTTTCTCTGGATATTATAACAACAATATCCAGCTCAGTGCCTCTTAGCCATCCAGGCTGCTCTTTAACACAACATACCAGTAAAACAAACTCAGCCAACATCATCATCACTGTGAACAGCTACACGCATGTAAAGAGTACAAAGGGCATCGCCTAATTCTTTGTTTTTTTCAGTGTGGTGTGCAGACTTTGTGTTGATACTTATTTTTACTTTAATCATGACGAATATTTTCAGATTCACCGCTGTGAGCCTTGAAAATTGTTTTTTGCATTTTATTCTTGTATTTCAATATGTAACTTTATGCAATGATGAAATTTGCCATGATGAAGTGATTTGCAAAATGAAGTGAATGTACAGCATCTTAAGATTCACACTTCCCCACTTAATGATTTAGGCTTTGTTCACACTCCAGGTATAAGTGACAAAAAGTGTTTTTTTAGTTTTCTTTCATGTGCAGCTCAGTTCTGTTTTGTCAGGGAAGCGCGAACACAGAAAACTCAGTGTTAAATCAGGATGACAGTGAGTTAAAAGTCCCTGCAAACACTCTGTATAGCTGCAGATACAAGTTCACAAGCTCATTTGATTGATTTTGATATCAGAAATGTTGTGAGGTTGAGGTATTTATCGCTCGGTGCTGGCTGTACCACACTGATCGGTCTTTTCATTCACAAGCATCTTCATCGTTGGAACAACATTCACGCGGGCAAAACCAACATTGACAAGTGCTATATCAACTCTCCAGAGGACTGGTATGAGAGTTCATATTGTTGTTCAGCTCTGCAGGATCTGGAAAAGAAAGAAAAAAGAAAACATGTCAACTTGCTGTTGGACACAGTGGGAGACGAGGGCGACAGAGGGAGGGGGAGATAGATAGATCTGAGATGGATTAGGACTGTGATATGCCAGCCATGTCTCATATACACAAACACACACACAGTCATGGGGTGTGTTACTTGTGTTAACATCAGCAGAACTAATGTAGTGGCTTCTTCTTTAACCTACTAACATGTTATTACTGAGCTGCCTAGGCATGTTGACCGCAATGACCGTGTGTGTTTGTGTGTGTGTGTGTGTGTGTGTGTGTGTGTGTGTGTGTGTGTGTGTGTGTGTGTGTGTGTGTGTGTGTACATGCTAATTTGTGTCTAGTACATGTCTGCATTTGTGTTTTTTGAAAGTTTATTTTTGATGTTTTTATGGAACTTTTGTGTGTGTTTGCGTGCACACACGTATGTACGTATGTATGTGAGTAGGTGGTGACTTTGAGTGTGTTCGTGTGCATGTGTGCCACTGGCTGCTTTGATATGCAGGTATGTGTGTGTGGTTGTGGATGCGTGGATAACTTCTAACTTGCTGTATGTGACTAAGGGTGACTGTAATTTGATTGTGCACTGTTTCTGTGCGAGTTTGCCTTGTGTGTGTGTGTGTGTGTGTGTGTGTGTGTGTGTGTGTGTGTGTGTGTGTGTGTGTAGTCTAAATAGAGCAGTGTTTGTGATGAACTGAAGAGAATGGTCGTATTGTTGAGAAACCAAAACAACAAGGCCTTGGTTTGAGCTGGGAGCGTCCTTTGATGACACAGTTTATGTGTCATTTACGTGTGTGTATGTGTGTGTGTGTGTGTGTGTGTGTGTGTGTGTGTTTTTGTTTTTTTCGTGTGGTTCCATTACTGCACAAGGTTGAGATCTGGTTCAAAGACTTTGTGGCTCTCCCTCACTCGGCTATTTCAGGGGTCGTTTATGATAATACTACAGTGAGGGTTGAAGTGAGGCAGGGTGTGTGTTTTTTGTGCGTGTTTAAGACAATGCTGTAATGACAGGAGCAGGATGAGGGGAGGAAACGGCACACTTTTGGAAGATAGGAGGTCACCAGTGGTCTTCATCTTCTTCTGTGCTGGAGCCACTGACCTGTCTAGACAAACTGTGTGTCTCCTGACTTCCACCGAGCACAACAGTATCTTCCCTGTGAGAAAATCTAAATCCAAATGTTGTGTTCTGAATGTTATTCCCCAGTTTATGTTATTCCATAGAAAACACCTCAAGAATTTGTTATTGCTTCATATAAACTGCGTTAAAGGTCCAACATCACTACTTGTGTGTGATTGGTAGGCTCGTGTCCTTTAAGTGGTATATTGAGACACCTCACACAGAGTCTTAGTAAACAGTTTAACCCCTAGCACCTGAACAACCCATTTTCTGTCAGAAATTATACACCTTCTCAGTGCCATAAATCAGACAATCTGGAACTCACAGAAGTTGCCTCATATTGCTACAATAAGCTCATCAATCTACTATTGATGTTTTTTAGGAATGTTATGCATATAAAGGAAGTGAAAATGAAGCAAAAACAGGCTTTGGGATGGCACCGTGTCCTGGTCTCTGACTGTGTCTAATACCTCTTTCAGACCAGAGCAGTGACCCTGGAGATATTCTGCTTGTCTATCAGTGTCATCTCATTAAAGTGGCATTGTTATAGTATGAAAGGCTTTCTAGTATATACAGTAAGAGCGCTGTGCTGTTTTTAATCCTTAGATACTGTATTGCGACAGTGACCTAAGAACAGAAAAAAAGCTATGAGGAGATGTGTACAGCAAAATATTTTTTTTTTCTCTTTTTCGTCAAGTCTGTACAACTCTGGCAAAAAAAATATCTCTTTTGTTAGCAAGCCATCTTTTTGCCTTTCTTTGTTGCCATGTTTGCCATATTTCACTGTTAACAGGTACAGCTTATGTGAGCTTATGTGTTAGGAGTGGCTGGTGACAGTTTAATATTCAGGGGTGGGGTCAATCAGCGACACAGGTAAAACCAAAAACAATGAGCAAAAGTATCTGACAGCTGTAGAAAGCTGCACAATGGGGTGTTGAGTCTCACTAAGATCGGTTCTTTAACATTACAGTGCTTTAATGTGCCAATATATGAACTATTTATCAGGTAAGATCACAGGATATTATCTACAAAGCACCATCACTTCAGTTTAACTCAACTGTTTCTATCTTTATGTCTTCCAGGACCTGCTCCACCTCTCAGAATATGACCTCCTGGAGCTCGGAGTCCACAATCACCTTCACCGCCTGCACCTCCTCACTTCTCTACGCCTCCTCCAGGAGCGAGAGAGGAGAAGAGGTACACAAATACACTTACAGGCAGTCAAACTCACAGTTAACCAAACATTATCTTTTCTTATCTGTTCCATCAGGTTGTTGATTCTGGGTCCGTGTTTGAGTCTCCATGTTTCCATCTATCTGTCTCTCTCCCTGTGTACCCTTGTATTGTAGACAGAAAGACAGAGACAGATAGCATTAGTGTCATGTAAAGACATGCTTATGCCTGGGGGGTCCGGTGGTGGGGAGGGGGTTGTCTGGTGGAGGACAATACTGTGTCACACACACATGCACACACAGACACACACAAATGTGAACACTTCCAAAGCTGTCAGTAAATAGAGAGAAGAGTGCTGAGGCCTGCAGTCCTGCTGGGTTTAATCACTTCTAGAAGTGTGTGTGCATGCAGGGATGTGTGTGTGTGTATTTGTGTGTGTGACTGACTGCTTTGTTTGCCCACTTTCCCATGCATTATACTGTGAAATCTAACTGTTGTCTTGGTGACTGAGTCTTGCACGAGTCGAGTATATACCAAGTGAAGAAAATGATTTTAGTGAATCTCCCGAGGCTAATATGTAACACAGTACCATTTGTCTTGTTGACCCCTGTACCTGTTTTATATTACATTAAAGGCATAAATATACTGAAAATAAAATCAAAAGTGATCAAAAGTGATGCGTCTCCACAGGCAAAATGTCCACTTTGCAACCAAAATTAATGAATCACATTTGCTTCAATGCAGAGTGGACGCGGTTTTCTCTGATAACTAGAAATCTCGCAGAAGCCAGACTTTTTGAAGTTGTTTAAGGCAGCAGGTACTATAGAGACATAGGCTCCTCTTTTATAGTCAGTTTGCTAGCCCAACTGGAATGTGTCTTTAAAAAAAAAAACAGACCCCAAGCTGCAGTGAACCTAAACATTTTCCACTTTAAGGTCTGTGTTTGACAAAAGTGAAGTGTGTGAAAATGCAGTTTTGTTGCTAGTCTTTTCCTCTGGAGGAGTGTAAATGTTTTTAGAGGTGATAAAATGTTGGAGGTCTCAGAAATCAGATAAGAAAAGTTAAGATGAGCCTGTAGACAATAAGCCTTGCAAGCAATTTTTTGAGAATAACTGTAGTATCACTGTCATAGGCACAATAAAAAAAAAAAAGGCTTGTCTTACTGTAGTGGTTGATTTACTAAATACATAGATCATGGTGCTCATATCCTTAAACCCACCTAAAATATAAACCAAGCTTCCAGGCTCAACAACAACAACACCAACATTTATTAAACCAGCACAGAAGCCAAGAACCTTTCTGATGTACACTCAGTAAAACAAGCCATAATTGTATGATATTTTAATTAAATGGTTCATTTGAAGCTATAATAAGAAATAAAGTCTGTCTTATTATAGGAGAAGATATAAATAGAATTGACTTCTGAGGAAATGGTTGTGGTCGACTGCATTATAAACACTTTCTATATGCACTGACATTTAATCTTTTCTTCTTTTTAAAAATGTTCTATTTCTGCATGTTAAGCTTGTAATAATGTCCTTCTTGTGTAGCGCCCAGATGTAAGGCCAACATCCAAATGTCTGTGTACTTTACATATAAGAATAAAATTTATTTATTTAAAAATAATAGTTAGCATGTAGAAATTGACATGTTTGGCCTTTTGGTGGGGCTAGATGAAAATTTAGGAGACCATCAAGTCACTAGGAAACCATGAATATATGTACCAAATTTCAAGGCAGCCCGTCTGATAGTTATATTTATGTCTGGATCAAGAAATTGGACAAAAAGATATTGCCACTGACTGACTTCTGAAATAGAGAGAGAAGAAGGACTGATGAATTACCTTGAGCAGTGAAACTCAAACTTAATCAACTAAAAAAAAAAACAAGAAAAGAGATATCACAGTGCCAGTTGTGATCTGCGAGTGACGAGTAAGTGATGACCGCCAAAGAGATACACAACAGATTACTCCTTTAAAAGCATACATTTTCACATTCTTGAGATCACTGTGTGGCCCCTAGTGGAGCCCCAACCTGCAAGTTGAGGACCGTTGCTCAGGTGAAACAGCCTCTAGTTGAAATCACTCAGTCACCAACTACTGTGGTATTATCTGTCTTCCTGGCAGCCTGCCACCCCTATCATTACCACAAAGGCCAGATTTGTTCAGCTAATGGTATCCTTCACACACGCACGTGCACACACACCGCACAAACTTACACACACACGCAGCATCCTCCAAAATGCCAACTCAACATTTGACCCAGATAAGAGCATTCCAGTGAGAGCACCTTCAGGATTAAACACATGCATACTGACGCACTGCATCCAGGCACATATTCATTTCATCATATAACTGTTTTTTTGGCTACAGTATATGATTACGTGGCTAGAATAAGAATCTGTGTGTGTGTGTGCATGTGTGTGCGTGTGTCAGGTACTTTCCTCGTTGGCAGCGCAGAAGTAGAGATGCTCCAATTAGAACAATTAGAGGGTGAAAAAGGAGGCAACAGTAAAACACACAAGTGCACGCTCATATTTCACATATTTGAGGCATTTTAGTTTTATGTTTAGTTACAGTTGTTGCTATAGCGCTGAGGCTGCTCTGTGGATACTTATTATGTTTAGAAGATTACCTATATCCTTATCCTGTGTTTGTAATTTCATGTTGAAAATATGGAAAGAATTTGAGGTTGTTCTGTAATTTTGCTCCATTATCAATGCCTACAGGATAAACTCAGATAAAATCAATAGTTTTCATATCACCTGAGTATATTAATGGGTGATAGATTACCAGTCATTTACAACTGCTAGCTTTATTAGATTGCTGTAGTCATCTGAAAGCAGCAACCTCTAATTTGGATCATGTGCTGTACATTTTCAAAAACCATGCACAATAACACACACACATCTGGCATGGACGGTTTAATTTAATCAAGCACCTGGCTCTGGAAAAAAAAAAATTAGTTTATGAAGGACTCTGCTTCTCTGCACACCAAACATGTCAGAGCATAGAACGTGCATGGTTCTCTCACACACACAGCTCCTCTCTCCAGTAACTATCCCTGAACTTCCTCAGCACTGCCTGGTCTCTGCTCAGTAAATAGACACATCATATTTCCTAAAATCAATGTTTAGGTTATTGTAAGAAGGTTATTAAAAGGAGCATGCAATCACAGCATTGGGGACGAAGGCATTGTTTTGCAAATGGAAATATAATAAGTCAAATCTGACTATTTTGATGCAGCCTTATGAAACATCTATAGGTAACATTAAAACAAACCCAGTAGATAGTAACATCATGTGATTTCTGTCTTTGAACACAATACCTGTTAGGATTGATGAATATTTTAGCGGCTTTTAGATACAAAACAAAACTTTGAAGGGATGCGTTTAAATGTAGTGACAATAGTTACAGTGTGTGTTTAGCTATATCTGATCTTAGGGATGATTACAATTAATCGATACATGTAGTCTCCTATTACACTCTAGCTATGAGTAGAATTAGATATTTGTTAGGTTCTACTCTCTTGTTGCAGCGTTACATTGGGCTGTTTTTGAGCATCTTTTTTATAACACTACATGTTAGCTGGGACTGTTTTTATGAGCGTGTGCCGCATGTAATCTGATATTCAGTTATGTGTTAAATATGTCTAGCTTTGTATGTTTCATAAGCTATGCGATGCTGTCAGGGATTATGCGATATGTTAATGTATAAATAAAGCTTTAATCGAGGGGGGGGAAGAATGCATTTGGTATTGTTTGGCAATTTGTTTTGTTTTTTATTTACAATTCATTAATAAACTGCTTGTTAATGTTATCAGTGAGGAAGGAAAAAGCTTACAATTTGCAACCCTGATCTAATCCCCTACATTATTTACAGAAATGAAAGTATTTAGTGTCTCATTTTGAACTGCTGGGCTCCTTGTGGGTTCATAAAGCAGCTTATTCACATCAACAGTTCATACATGCATCCATGTTTGCAGTTCATTCATATGCCAGCTGTTTAGTCCTAAGGTCAGAGCTGTTTTGTCCCTTCCTGAACTATATGAGCCGAGGAAGTGAGTAATGTGAATACCAGAACACACACAGACAACACACCGCTTTGCTACTCCGCCATGCTAAACATGGGCCGAAGCAAGTTTTACATTGTTTGTATGTTCGCATGTGAGAGAGAGAGAGAGAGAGAGAGAGCAGGTGTTCATGCGGACAGTTTGTTTGCTTGTTTGTTTACACGGATGTTGTCATGGTGACAGAATACTTAACAGTGGTCAGTTGGGAGTTAGTTAGTTTGTGGACCAAAGATAGAAACTTTAACACCGACAGTTACACACATTCATAGCTGTCAACTGACCCGAACTGTCAGACGTTTTTGTTCACACAGAAGTTGCTGAAGGAGAGCAGAGATTCATTCATGTTTTTTTTTTACTATGTTGTTCTATTCTGTTCTGCTAGCTCGTTTGTCAGCTGTTATAAACGTGCTCTCTGGCCACCAGGACTTTAATAACACTGTGATTATTATTTATTTATTATGCCAGTAGTTCAAATCAGCCTCATGTATTCAGTCATTGGCAGCTGTTACAGATCTGTTTTTTTTTTTTCCTTTCTGTAGTTTTTAACAACCTCCGACCCAGACCACATTCTTCACAAGAGTTTTTAAGGCTGATCTTATGTTTTTGTGATAAATAGATGTCAAGAGAACTAACTTGTTCTGAGATCTATATCACTGTCCAGGGAATGAAAAATAACACTCACAAAATGAATCAATAGAACAAAATGCACTGCGATTTACAGCTTCGAGGAGGAAACTGTAGAGATTTAAGACATTGTGAACCATGTATTCTGTTGCTATATAAAGGGAGGGCTAAACTCAAATTACATCAAAAACAGTGACTGCAGCAGCTCTGTTCAGTTCAATTCAGTTCAGGTCACATTGACAATACATAAAAACACAGAGTATAATCAGTGTTATGCACCTCTACTTGAGTATACAAAAAAATATATCTTTAATTCCATGACCTTTACAT